GCCCCATGGCTTAGCGGTTAAGTGTGCGCGCTCCGCTGCTGGCGGCCTGGGTTCGGATCCCGGGCACACACTGACGCACCGCTTCTCCTGCCATGCTGAGGCCGCGTCCCACATACAGCAACTAGAAGGATGTGCAGCTATGACATACAACTATCTACTGGGGCTTTGGGGGAAAAAATAAATAAATAAAATTACAAAGTGGTTGTACCATTTTACATTCCCACCAGCAATGTATGATGTTTTAATTGCTCCACATCCTTGTCAGCACGTGGCACAGTCTTTTAAATTTTAGCCGTTCTAATAATTTGTAGTTTTAATTTGCACTTCACTAATGACTAGTGATGTCGAGCATCTCTTTATATGCTTGTTTGCTGTCTTTTTATCTTTTTGTGCAGTGTCTGTTCAAGTCATTTAACTGTTTTTTTTTTTTTTTAATAGTTGGGTTGTTTGTTTTCTTAATATTGAACTTTTAGAGTTCTTTATATATTCTGCAAATAGGTTCTTGATCAGATATATGCTTTGCAAATATTTTCTCCCAATTTGTGGCTTGTCTTTTTATTCTCTTAACTGTGTCTTGCAAAGACCGGAAGCTTAAATTTTGAAGTTGAGTTTATCAACTTTATTTTTTAAATGGAATGTGCTTCTGATGTGGTATCTAAGCAATGTTTGCCTACTCCAAGCACTTATTTCTGTCTCTGTGCCTCCTGTTAGAAGTTTTCTTTAAATGGCTGGGGATTCTGGCTGTGCATTCACACTTAAGAGTGAGGCAGTAAAAAGCTGATTGAATGCTCTGTGTATGGCGATGGAGGGGGCTTGTTGGCAGGTGGGTTTCCCTGTGGGGTGTGCTGGCAGGAGCAGGGCCATTTTGTTGGGGGATCCCCAAATGTCAGTATTGCGGGTCTTTTCTTGTGGGCTGGGCTGCTGAATTGCTCTACTGGAGGGGGTAGGGGCACAGGCCTGCCTGTCACTGTCCTGGGTACCAAGTGAGCAAGGGACCCTTCACAAAATCCTGTTTCCAGCCCTTGTCTGACCTTCACCTCCAGCTGTACCCCGGTGGCTCCATCTAGAGCCCGGCTCTCTGGTTCATTTTCTGCAGAAAGCAAACCTGTCTCTTGCAGGATTGGGGAGATCTGGTTTCCTATTCAGGTCCTCTGCTTTCCTCTTTGTCTGCTGTCTTCTCCTCCTCATTGTCTTGGGCAGAAGAGAGAGAAATGTAGCCATTCAGTTTGTTGTATTTGAACAAAGGACATTTCTTACTCTCCTGGCCTTTCTCCTCCTCCTCACCCCTTCATTCCTCCCCCCTCCTCTCTCTCCCTCCTCCCCTCCCCCAACCCCTCCCTCCTCTACTCCCCCTTCCTCCTTCCTTCCCCCTCTCCCTTTCCCTCTTCCTCGAACCCTCCTTCCTCCCCCTCCCCTCCTACCTCCCCTCCTCTTCCCCCTCCTCCGTCATCCCTCCCTCACCCTTTCCTCCTTCCCCCCCACCCTCTTCTGCCTTCCCCTTCATACCTCCTCTCCTTTACTCCCCCTTTTTTCTCCCTCCTCCTTCCTCTTTGCTTCCTATGCCATAATTCTTGAGGTAGACAGCCACGCTCTTCAGGTCCCTGGAGGAAACAGCCCATGTAACATAGAAAGGATTGGATGAGGAATCAGGAAACGGAAGTTCTCTACCTACGGATGTGATCAACCTTTGTCCCGCTTTACCACCTCCTTGACTCTCCTTCCCATCCTTCAACCACAAAAACCCCTCATGACCACATCCCAACCCCTCCTCACGTCCAGACCTTGGCCTCAGTCACCAGGATCATGTCAGAGCTTCATGTTGCACATGGCTGTCCCGTTTCTGCCCACTCTGTGGGTCCCTGAGTAGGAGTGGGGCCTGGGTCCACTCTGGGTCTCTGTCGATTGAGGTGCCTAACTCGGGTGTCCGGGTTTAGGGTGTTGGGGCTGAGTGTGAGCGTCCCTCCCTATCAGGAGTGCCCAGAGCATCCTGTCCCCTCCACTTGCCTTCCTAAAGGCTCGGGCCTGGGTGTAGGGCTGATAGGAACTTGGCCTTTCACTCACTCTCTTGGGCTTTCTGCCCTGTAGAAGCTGAGACCCTTCTCTTGTGTCCGCCAGCACCCTCCTCCTGCTCTGGGTAATTATTACTGTTAGAGTGAGAGGCCACATGCTTCCATCAACCAGGTGGGGGGAGGGTGGTGCTCCCTCCACAGCCCTGTGCCTCCCTCCAGGTCTGAGCCTTTCTCCAGGGCCTCCTCTGGAGAGGCAGCTACAGATGTCCAGCTGACCCTTTCTTTGGGGCTTTTGTCAAACACTGAAGAGGGAATGTATCCACTTTCCTAATCTGTGGGCGCTTGGTGGCATTGCAAGAGAATGAGAAGAGCTGAGTAATTCTCTGTCCCCACTCATCACTTCCCACTCTCCTTTTCTCTCGCTTCAACCCCACAACTCACCACATTTATCCAGGGCCAGGTTTGGAGAGCGGCTGTTGTAACGTGGAATAAAAACGCTCATTGGTTGCTGCTTCACAAGGCACCTTCCAGTGGATACTGAGCTGGCTGACGTCAGAGGGTGGGGGTGGGGGAATGTTCCCATTTTACAGGTGAAGTAACTGAGGGTCCCGGAGACCTCAGGACTTGCCCAGTGTCTCACAGCTAGCAGAGTAGAATCTCATTTTGACCCCAGATCTCATGACTCCACATCTGGCAGCCTGCCTTCTGTACCTCAGGGGCGAGTCCCAGGCTGTCCTCTCTCGTTCTGCCTGGTAATTACTGTTTTTTGGCTGTAGGGGTTCCCTGGTCTGGGGCCCCACGGGAGGGAGGTAATTACATCCTTTGAGATGCCCTTAATCAGCAGCTTCCCGGCAGTCCCTGTGACCAGGCCCAGCTCTGACCTTTGTTCTTCCCCATTCCCAGGCCGCTGGGCCTGGAGACTTTGATTGGATTCCTCTGTTTCTCTCTTTGGTTGGTGCTTCTGGTTGCATCTGGTTAGCCCCTCCTTCACAGAGTGCCCATAAATTCTTTTTATTCAGGCAAATTCTTTTTATTCAGTGCCTTCAGTCACTCAGGGGCAGGGAGGGAGAGCTTGCAAATGCCTCTCTGCCCCGCCCAGCTATTAGCAAAGTGGATCCTAGCATGGGCCTTCTTGTAGAAAGAGTAGTACTGCCCTTGGTCCCTCTATTCATGAGCATCCATCTCATCCACTCCAGGTCTCCACCCCCGCTGCCCCGATCTGCTTGTCCACACAGCCGGAATTATCATGGGGCCTGTCTCTTTCATATACATAAGCATGTTCAGCCTGCTTAAATGTCTCGGAAGCTTCTTATGGCTTTTGGAAAAAAGGCAGAACCTCTTATGGCTTCCATGGCCCTGTAAAGTCAGCGCCGCCTGCTACCCCAGCCTTGTTTTATATGCAGTTCTCTCCCTCTCTCCTCTCCAGTCGCTCTGGCCTTCATTCTGTTCTTCCTCCTTACCACGTTTTCCACCCTCCCCATGGCCTTTGTACGTGCTCATCCCTCTACTTGGAATGCCCTCCTCCCACACCCTTTGCCTGGTTAGTTCTTACTTATCCTTTAGACTTTCAGGTCAATCATCACCTGCTCGGAGATGCCCTGTCCAGCCCTTCAGCAAAGCAAGGTCCCAGGGTCCTATACTCCTGTGGCTTCCTGCAGTCTTCCTTCAGAATGCTTTCATGGTTTGTAGCTGTCTGTGATTATTTGATTAATGTTGGTCTCACCCACCGGACTGGGAGCTCCATGAGAGCAGGGACCACTCTGTGGTCTGTTTCCTGTGACATCTCTTTCCCTCACCGCTATCCCTAGTGCCATACGTAGTAGGAACTCATCAAGTATTAGATAAAGGACTCTGTGATGGAATACCAGACCTCATCCGAAATCTCACATCCCTTCAGAAGCCTCCCACCTCCCTACCTTACTCTTGGCTGATGGTGCTTCTGCCACCCCTGAGCTCCCCGATTGTCATGTCCTGTGGCACTGCTCCCCAGGTCTCCTGGGGATTTTATAAAGAGGAAGATTCTGGGTTAGTAGTGTGGAGTAGACTCGGAGATTCTACCTTTTTAACAAGCCTTCATGGATCCATGCTGCTGGTCCAGGGACCACACTTTGGCCTGGCCTGAGAGGTGGAGGTGCCAGGTCACAGCTGCTGGGAGGCCAAGTCACCACAGAAGACATTGTTTGCACAGGGACAGGACACTGTCATTTGTGGTGTGTTTGGCCCAGCCAGGCTGGGGACAGTTGCAGATCTAAACCTGTTATGGAGTCCCAGGCTCTGCTCCTGCATGACCCCTTAGGTCTTAGCCCTGAACTAGGAGAGAGGGGTGGACGGTAACACCTGGGTCAGCCTGCAAACAACCCTCAATCTGAAAGGGACTCCAGAGAGCTATGCAGTGTAGGCTCTTACCACTTAAAATTCCCTTTAATTTTCCTCTTTCCCTTGCTGCCTCATCACAAATACCAACTAAAAAAGGAAGGGGTTTTTCTTGTTTTCTACTGAGTGAGGGAGGAACCAAGTGAGGGTGATTAGAGATGGCCTGTGTACTCTGTCACCTTCTCAGTAGCACTGTGGCCCTCACATTCATACCTAAAGGACTCTCATTTTCGTGCTCAGCCCTGTCCCCCTCTGCACACCTTTGCCTGGCTCACGGACCTTTTTGGAGCACAATTCAAGTGACATACCCTTCATGTGGGGGTGTGGGAGGCTTGGAGAACTCGCCCCAGGGCCTGGTGGGTTCAAGGTCCACTCTGCCAGCCCGGGGAGGCCCTGGGCCTTCCTTGGTGGGCCTCTGAGTTCTTCTCCTGGGATCCCTTCCAGCACTGACAGCGATTCTCTGATCACCTGGCCTTCTGTGTCTGAAAGAAATGAGGGGAGGGGAGAGCTTTCTGAGCCTCTGCCAGCAAGCTCACGGGAGCTGCAGCGGGCCGGCCTTCGGAGAAGGCAAGCCAAATCCACTTCGCTGTCTCTTCTTGCCCCTCCCCATCCCGGCAGGTCCCTGGATGGCCGACTGCAGGTGTCCCACCGGAAGGGGCTCCCCCATGTCATCTACTGCCGCCTGTGGCGATGGCCCGACCTACACAGCCACCACGAGCTGCGGGCCATGGAGCTGTGTGAGTTTGCCTTCAACATGAAGAAGGACGAGGTCTGCGTGAATCCCTACCACTATCAGAGGGTAGAGACCCCAGGTAGGCGCTGCCTCTCTGTGGGGTCTGCAGCTCCCTACACATCATCGCCTTCCCCCTCAGGGAGGGTCTGGGGTGCATTTGGGTGTGTGGGGGCTTTGGTGCCAGCCTGGCATTGCCGCTGATTGGCATTACACATCATCGCCCTCCCCTCCCCCCTCCCGAGGGAGGCTCTGGGGTGCATTTGGGATGCCAGGGCTTTGGTGCCAGCCTGGCATTGCTGCTGATTGCCTCTGCTCTGTCTCCTCCGGACAGTTCTACCTCCTGTGTTGGTGCCACGCCACACAGAGATCCCGGCCGAGTTCCCCCCGCTGGATGACTACAGCCATTCCATCCCCGAAAACACTAACTTCCCCGCGGGCATCGAGCCCCAGAGCAATATTCCAGGTAGGCACATGGGCAGTGCGGCCGGCCTGGGCAGCAGGGGCGCCAGACAGCCCCGACCCTGGTCCCGCCACTCTGCTCTCTGCTTCCTCGGCACCCCCCCAAGCCCCCGCACTGCACACAGCGCTGGCCCGAGGGCTCTGACTCAGAACCGCATCCCTGTTGGGAGAGGACCCATGGCCTTGGCTCCCACTTGCTAATGATGCTTTTCTTGGCACGGGGGAGCGGCGGCGTGACCCTTCCGCCCGGCCTCGGTGCAGTCATTTATTTTGGAAGCGGAAATAGCAACGCTGTGTTTCTCTCCCCGCCCTCGAGGCCGGGGCTGGAGTTCAGGCAGGATCCCCGACAGTCTGGGGGCCTGCAGAGCCCGGGGGCGAGCAAGGGCCAGGCAGCAAGTGCAGAGAACTGGCCCGTAAGTAAGCCTGGTGCGGGGCTCCGACCTGGGTGGGAGTTTTTACTCTGCAGGGAGAAGTGGGCCCCACTGTCAGAGTGCAGATGTTTTTAGAAGCCCCTCATTTACATGCAAATAATGTATGAATCACCAGCACTCTCCGTGGCATCCAGGAAAACTGCTTGGCAGCACTCAGGCTGGTCACAGCGGCAGGGACTGCGGCTGCCTGGGCAGTAATCGGACCGCGTCCCTTTCAGAGCGTTCTAATTTGGCCGAGCCTTTCCCCCTGAGTGAGTTTACTGTGCTGAGGTTGACCACAGGCCTGTGCGTGTGGGTCAGAGCATTAAAGAGAGACCCGCTTTACAGATCCAGCCTTTTCAGGTCCGTCACAGGTGCTGCTAGTCTCCAGGGGGTAGGTCACCCACTCTGTTCATTCAGCAAACCCTTAGAGCGCTAGGGCAGGGTCTAGAGGGGGTATAGAGAAATAGATCACGGTCTGTGCTGTCATTGAAGTTACAACCCACTTGGGAAGCTAAGATAGCCTCTAAAGAGATGACAACAACCGATCTGCATGGGAGTAGATAGTAGAGCCGAAGGGCCGTCTGAGGTGGTCACCCTTCAAAAGACGGAGGTGGGTGAGGCTGAGGCAAGTCCACTGCCTCTCTGGAGGGGTAGACTTAAACCTGACCTTGAAGGATGGAGAGAAGTTGGCCTGGCAGACCAACTGACAACTTCTCCCCTGGCAGAGGCTCTAGGAACAGGCATTTCAGACTTGGGAGTAGGGATGGTGTGAATAGAGGTGGTAACAATCCAGGTGGGGAGCTGGGAGGTCAAGGGGCATGAGGACAGCAGGATCCAGGAGCTGGTGTCCTCGCTCTGAAGCCCAGAGTTCCTCCAGCACTGCTACTGGCATAGTGGTGTGAATGGGTGACAAGTTTGCAAAAGGTGTCTCGAGGCAAACCATGGAGGCCATTTAATGAACCACCTTCCTTCCAATTCCCAGAAACCCCACCCCCCGGCTACCTGAGTGAAGATGGAGAGACCAGTGACCACCAGATGAACCACAGTATGGATGCAGGTCAGAGTCCCACAGGGGCGTCCTCTTAATCCCAGCCGAGTGCCTGCCCGCCCTCCCTCCTTCTGTCCAGTATTTATAAAGCAACCACTCTGTGCCAGACACTGTGCCAGGGGCTGGGGATAGAGGAGGAACATGAGCTGCTCACAGTTTGTAGGGGAAACTGACAAGACAACCAGCAGTTACTGTACCATCTCATATACACCCCAGTGGAAGATGCCATGTGGCATCAGGGGCACAAAGCAGGGCCACCTAACCCAGCCTGGGGAGGAGGAGTATCTTGCAGTGTAGATTTTTCTTGAGTTGAATCTGGGAGATGTGTAGGTGCTGGCCAAGGTGTCAGGGGGGGCAAAGGGTGTGCCAGGCAGAGATGTGGGGGCATGGGCAAGAGGGCCTGGTGCATTCTGGGGGCAGTGAGAGCTCTGTGTGGCTGGAGCACACTCCTCCAGAGCGGGGAGCGACAGGAGGGCCTGTCACTCAAGGCTTCAAGTGTGGCCAGGGGCTGATGCAGAGCCACCGCAGGCTTTCAGCAGTCTGTGCCTCGTTAAGATGTTGCTGGCAGGGGTGAGGGGTGGGGGGTAGGGGGTGAGGGCTGCATCACCTGAAATCATTCAGGAGATCCTGAATGGAGGCAGGGTCTTTGCCAATGGCCAGTGGAGGCCCCTGAAGCATCTATTTTTGTGTGGTGACCCAATGTGATCGATGTGTTCCTGCCATGAGGGACCCAGCCCAGTTGTCTCCAGCCACATCTCCAGATGTTCCCACATCATTTGTTATGGGACCAAATTGGCTCCAAACCAGCGGCTTCTTGAATTGAACCCCAGCTGCCACATAGAATGTGCGCTACGTTGTGTGTGGTTGGGTGAGGAGGAGGGAGCCAAGCAGACGTTCTGTTCCGACAATGGAGGGCATGCCTTATACACACAGAGCCACTGGACGCATCAGAGCCACCGGCCCTCCACACAGCCCAGCAGAGTGTGCAATTACTGAAAAAAGGACGAAAGAGACTTGCACGTTCATTGCAAACGTAGTTGCTTAATACCTAGCCTGGGCATCGTGGCACTGTTGGGTTTAGCGCCCTCCCCCAACACACCCCCCTGGGTGCATGTCTGACAGTGTGAACCCAGCTGGACTGCGTCAAAGACCTTCCTGTGTTCATGCCAAGTGACGGCTGCAAGCTTGTAGCTATTAAACGCTGGCACGGGAAGCAGGCCAGCTAAGCAGCGTCTCTCCAGATGCCGTGTTTCTTCTCACTCTCTTCTCTTTCTTCCCTCCTTGCTGCTCTGCATGTTTGTAGAATGATTGCTGTTACAGAGGAAAACGGACCAAAGGGGAGAGTCTGTATATGAGGCAAGCTGTCGTCTTTTCTCCCTTTCAGCTCTCGTTTCTTCCTTCTCCTCTCTCTTCTTTCTGCCCCATTTTTCTGTCCCCACTCCCATCTTCCTCTCCTCCCACGAGTGTACCCTGTTGTGAACATTAGTGATTTATTGAAGTGGACACTGGGCTTTGTGAACCCCAGCCAGCCTGTGGATGGGTAAGTTGGGTGGGTGGGTGGTCTCCTATTTATTCTCTGTTCTTCACTCAAGTTGTCCATTTGGAAACCAGTCCAGTTGCTCATGGTGTTGGCTTCCCTGCCAGCTGAGATGGGGTAGCATCTCAGGTGGGAATGGGGATCGACCTTGTCCAGCCTTGTGTCTCCCCTAACATGAGTACGTGCCCTTTCAGACCAGTGAGGAGGTCTCACATCCTTCCTGGGTCTTCATGAATCCGGCCACCATAAAATAGGAAACCAATGTTTATTGAGTGCCCACTGTGTAGGCATTTTTATATGCTCAATCTCACTTCATTTCCACAAATCACACAATAGATGATGTCTTCCCCATTTTGTACCTGAGGGAAAAAATAAAGGCTCAGAGAGGTTAAACCACCTTGCCAAAGTCCCATAGCTGATACATGGTGGCATGTCTGGACCCCACGGCTGATTTGGAAGCTCTGCTTCTCCCAGGACTCATCTACAGCCCCGATGGATTGGGTGCTGAGGGAGAAAAAGAAACCCATGGCTCATCCCTTGTCCTCAAGGAGGTTATATCTGGGTTGGGGAGCAGGAACAGACCCCCATTAACAGGTCAAGGCAGTAGATGCTTGAGGCCCTGCCATGAGGACCGGTAGATTTCAGGGGGCAGAGCTAGCCCCACAGGGCTGTGAATAAAGAAATAACTCTCCTAGCCCCGTGGATGCAGGAACAAGGGAGGATGAGCCCAGGGTTGCTCTGTAGAAAGGCAGCCCCTTGATTTTTTGAAAGGCTGATGCCATGTGGGTTTTCTTTTCTCCGAGAGTGAGGGGTGGAGTGAAGGTAATAGAGGAGGGAGACCTGGGTAGGTTTGGACTTTTTCCTACACGTAGCATCATGTGTTACATAAAATGTCGGTCTGGTTGCTGAGTCGTGGGATTTCTGAGGCAGCTTGGTGAGTTTCCTGAAACCTAGGGAAAGGGCTGGATTGGAATTTCCAGGTTCCTGAGCCTCTGAGAGCAGCGATAGTGACGTCTGGGCAGTGACCAGCGCCACTTGTGTGGGAAGGCTGGCCTCTGCTGCCTGGGTTTTTGACCAGCTGGGGCGAGGGCCTTCCCTGGGCTCCTCATCTTCCTGGGGGCATAGTTAGCAGGGCGGGTCGGTGTAGGGTCAGTGTACCCTCGTAGGGAACTCAGCAGCCCTGTGGTGCGGGTCTTGGTTAGAGGCATCAAATCATCGCGTCGTGGAGGAGACCTCCGAGATCATCCGCTCATCCATTCGTTCCACAGATGAAGAATCAGGCCCAGGGCAGGGAAAGTCCAGGCGGGGATATGGGATTTGGCCTTCTCCTGGGCCTTGGAGGCTCAGCCCAGGGTTTTCTTCCTGCTGTGTTGAGCTACCCCATCTTGATGCAAGCATTCAGGAATTTGGCTGTCCAGGCCAAGAGTCTTTTATGAATTCTCACAACTGTGTCTCACCTTACAGGTTCTCCAAACCTATCCCCGAATCCAATGTCCCCAGCACACAATAACTTGGGTAAGTACCTCCTTGTCCATCTGACCGTAACCCCTTCTAGCTGCAGCCCTGGCTGGTGGCCAGTGTGGGGAGGGGGCCCTGAAGGTGAGGCTCTTGCCCCCACCGCCACCATCAGCCAGGGTTTCTAGTTACACTGATTCTGGGGTCACCCACAGAATGAGGAAACCTGAGAACAGTGGTGGCAGGAAAGACAACCATATGCTGGGTTTGTATTTCCCCTGGGTGGCGGTTAGACGTGAGTGAATGAAAATCCCCCAAACCTTGTACTCAGGTGACGAGGGTCTGTGGTCAGCCAAGCATACGCGTGTGGTTTGATGCTAAGCCATGGGCAGCCGTGCAGACTCCAGCCCCCCGACTTTCGTAGACTTGTTTCAGATATACTTATTTGGATTTTATTTGAGCATTTCATCTTACAATGATGTCATTTTTATTTAAAACAGCAACATATAAGAAATTTGGGGAAAAAAGGCACAATTGCCCATAACCTCCCCACCCTAACACAACTCTTTCTGTTTGATCATAGTCCTTCTGATGTTTGTGGATCAGGCGTATATATGTTTGTGCCTTGCCACTGAGGTCATAGTGCGTATCCATTTTTTCATTCTTTCTTCTCTTTATGTTATTTTGTAAACACATTTCCATTTTTAGAGGCCTCCTTTATCATCTTGCATTCTCTCTTGATGTTTTGGAGCAGCTGGACCATCATTTCCACAACCCTCTCTCAGTTGTTGGACTTCTGGGTCATTTTTTCTGAGATTCGCTGTTCTAATGCAGGAGCCTCCTTCAGTTCTAGCCCGGGGCCTGCTGAAGGGCTCAGGACAAATGAAATGTCTGTATTGAGGGGAATTTTTTATGTGTTGGTTTTAGAAAAATGTGAGTTTGATTTAGTTTTGGCCTTTATTGCTAGGGCTTAATTTGTGGCTTAGGAAAAGAAAGAGTTAACGTCCAAGCTTGGTGAATCCGAATGAATCGGCCTGGCTTTTGTTCCCAGTTGTTTCCAGTCCTTGACTGATAGTCAGATGAAGAGAGTCATCATTGGGAACATTGGGAGATGCTTGAAAACCTTTAATACAGGCTGACAGGTGGGCAGTGTGAAATGTGACTTTGGGGGATCTGTTTTAACATCTTTGTAAAATAATATCACTGGGAGTGTCGGGCTTTGCAGAGGAAGGTCAAATTCCCGACATGAAAGGACTGATTGAGTTATTAGCAACAAACTGAAGGCTGGAAGCTATGTTAACACTTGAGAAATTAAAGGCCACGACGGTGAATTTGACTCTCGGCTTTCAGCTTTTGAGCTGGCTGGTTGAGATTTCATTTCTACTCCATTTTATCCCCCCGTGGCCAAGGCAGCACTTTCCGTTGACAGACTCGGGAGCAGGCATTTGCCTTTGAACCTGCTGCGTGACTCAGCGATTCAGACTGAGAGTTGTCCCAGGTGGTAGTTTCGTGTGAATTCCCCTCTAGCTTGTATGGACAAGGATCACAGGATGGTTCTTGAACCTGGACCCAAGGCAGAGGGCCTTGTTGATGCCCTGTTCCTCAGGCCCCTTATCTGAGGGTCAAGAACTCTTAGGTCATTTCTTCCAAAGGAAGGAATAGCCTCCTAGCCCAGTGGGCAGAGTGGGTGCCACTCTGCAGGGAAGATCTGAATGGAGGGACAAGTCAGCTGACGAGTCAGGGTTAGGACTCATGGTGAGACACGGCCGCTGACAAGCCCAGCTTCCTCTCCACTTGACGAGCCCTCGAACACCACCGTTACCCATTCAGAACTATTGGCTTCATCCCAACCCATGAAGTCTCCTAGCCTCCAGGCCTCATGGCCGGAAGGAGGTGAGACCATAGTGACAAAGATGGCAAGCATTTCTTGAGAACTTGCTGCTTACTGAGTGTCGTTCAGAGTGCTTCATGCACGTTAACCCAGTCTCCATAACAGCCATCGAAGGTAGTGGTGTTGTAATTTCTCATTTCACAGATTAGGAAACCAAGAAACAGACTGGTTAACTAACTCATCCCGGGTCACACAACTAGTAAATGGAGAAGCTGGCTTTGAACTCAGGCCTTCAGGATCCGGGATGTGCCCACCTCCTGTCTGCAGCAGGACACTGCCCTGCGGGGTCCCTGAGGCCAGCTCTCCCTTTCTCCCTCAGAAGAACAAGGCTCAAGACGAGTACTTACTCTCTTTTAGTCGAGGACAAAGGTCAAGGTGAGGACCCTGGTGTCCCATGTGGTCCCTGGATGGGAGCCCTGCCTGCCTGCTTGTCTCTTTCTCACTCGTCATTCCCCAGGCGCTTCCTGCCTGGTCCTCGTGTGCCAGTCCAGGTGGGGGATTCGGAGAGTCATCACAGACCCTGCCATCGAGGTGCTCATGGCTTTGTTGGGGTAAACGAGGCAGGAGGACACACGATTCTAAAACAAGGCGTCGGTGCGGGTGAAGTACCCTGAGGGTTCAGAGGAGGGCACGATGGCATTGCAGGCGGGACATCATCCAGGCTTGCCAGTGGCTCCTGTGTGAACTCATTTAGTCAGCGCTGGCTGAGCTCCAAGTATGTAACGATGCTGGGTCCAGAGGTGGGGAGGATGCTTAGGCTGGGCATTCACGGTCTGGTGCAGTGGCTGGAGGTGTGTGTGTCCACCTGTGCTACGTTGTGCCAGGTGCCAAGGTAGAAGCACAGAGGAGGGAGGAACCATATATGCCAAGGAGGAAAGTGTTGGATGGGATGGGAAGACCTTGGAGTTGTGGTGACATGTGTGAACTGGACCTTGGGGACAGGTGGCCAAGTGAGGCAGAGAAGGAGGGAAGGACGTGGCAGATGGCAGGAATGGCGTGAAAGGGCAGAGTGAGCTCTGGCAGCATGGTTGGTTGGCATGGCGGGAGGCACAATGGAGAAGATGAGGCTGAGGGGGCTGGTGGGGCAATGAGAGAAGAGCCCTGAATGCCACGCTTATTTAGTCTCTTGCCTACAGGACAGTCGTTGGTGGTTTTTGAGTGGAGGGGTTATCTGATGACAGCTTCATCAAGATTAATCTGGCCACTGTGTGGAATTTAAATTTGGAAAGAAATAACTGGAGACCAAAAAACCAAAAACAAAAAACCCACTTCGGAAGCTATTGCAGCGAAGGAAGCCGAGATGAATGCTTTAGAGAGAGGGCAGCGGGGTCAGGAGAGGGCGTTGGAGAGAGAGAGTGGTGGGCCTGAATCAGCAGGATTTATTGACCAGCTTTACCTGGGAAGACATTGAGGCCTCTGAACTGAGGCAGGACAGCCAGGAGATGGGGTGGGTTGGGTTGGAAGACAACGGTGAGTTGCCTATGCCTAACTGTGTCCAGAAAGCAACTGGACAGTCAGGAGAGAGGCTGGGGCTGGAGGGGCAGATTTGGAAGCCGTTAGCACATATGACAGCCTTTTCCAAAGTGGGGCCAGGAAGACAAGATTTTGTCATCAAATGAGTTTGGAAAGCCTGTACTGAACCCCCTCCTGGCATCCCCAGGGCACTTGCATAGTAAAGCCTCTGATAAGTCCTGCAGGAAGAAGGCCTCTTTGAGCCAGCATTTCTCCCATGGATCTGATCAGTGTTGGAACACGTCTCCTGTAATCCCGTTGACCATTCATAGATCTCCCTCTGGAAACACTGACAAAGGGAAATGAATTCAGCAAAGAGGGAGACCCAGCTCAAGAAGGAAAGAGGGCCAGAGACAGACTGACGGGGGCCCCCCTCGAGGAAGAGGCTGAGGGCCAGGTGGAGGATGGGGCTGTGGCAGCCAGAGGGGAGGGAGGCACTGAAGGACGGCAGTGGGCAGGTCCTGCAGAGTTGTGAAATGAGATGTAAGAAGGGGCTGTTGGGTTTGACCGTCAAGAGTTCAAGGGCATCCTTTGGAGAGCAGTTGTGGGGAGAGGTGGGGGCTGAAGTCGGTCAGCGATGGACTGAAGGGCAAATAAAAGGTGGGGGACTGGAGGCAGCACGCAGCAGCAGCCTCTGCATTTCTTCATGGCCAGTGTGTCCCAAATGGTAGGATGAGGACAGGCACACAGTGAGTTCTTCCTAGAGAAAGATGGAGACATCTCAGGACATCTGATCATTTCTTGTAAAGAAATTATACAAAAAGAAAGCAAGCATAGAACATCTGGCTCCTTCTTCATTTCCTCCCCACCCCAGGCAAAAGGCTGAGCCTCCTGCCACAGTAGAGCCACTGCTGGCGACTCTCGGAGGAGCCCCAGGGTGTGACTGAGGGCCAGCTCAGCTTCGCCAGAGGCAGCTCCCCGGAGACCAGGGGGCTTTGTTTGCAGGGAAGGGATGTGAGCAGGTGAGGTTCCTGTTATTAGACATCATTCTGGATGAGTCACCTGGAATTTCCTAAGCATCTAAATCAGAAGGACAGGGGCCAACGAGGGGAAGGAGGGGGAGGTGGAGAGAGAGGAAAAGATAGCAAGCTGGATCCTGCCGGTGAGTAAGTTGTTCTCTGCTTTAAAGTGAGAAGTTTTTTGGGAGGGGCCTTGACCTGGAAATGGGGTACTGGGGATGCCCTGGGGCAGCGGCTGAGCTGGAGTTTAAGGAGGTGATGGTTTCCCAGAGGGCTGCTGCAGAGGGGGCCTTCCTCTCCCGCCAGGAGGGAAGGACAAGGACCAGGGTGGCAGGGCAGTGGGAAGACCACTGGCCCCTGAGAGAGGACAGGGGTCAGGTTGCAGGCCTAACCCCGTTCCAGGTGTCTTCATGCTGCTGCACAAGGCTTTTCCTAAGGCCTCCCGGACTCTAATCTTCGGTAAGCTTGGGCACTCACAGGCGGGCGTCTTAAGGACAGAAAGTCAGCTGCCGGCTGTACCCTCACACTCCCGAGGGTCTGGCTCTCAGACTTGGCCACTGTTCTTGGCTTCAGTAAACTAGTCCTAGGCTGAAAGAGCATGCGTTCTTTCTGCGTACAACTTGGTTTGTTGTTACAGTCCTTAGGGAGATAGGTCGGAATTGGTACCCCAGATGCTGGGACACAGCCGGCCTGGGCCTGCAGGAACAACCCTCAGGAGCACATGTGGCTCAGACACAAGGGGTCGAGTCTGCACGGAGCGCGTGAGGGAGTGGTTCACAGCCACGTGAGCTGGGCCTTAAACGCTGGGTCCTCACAGATAAAGGGGCCGGGCAGCCCGGGCAGCCCGGGCAGCCCAGGCAGCGGGAGCAGCAAGGACGGAGATGTGACAGCATGAAGGCACGTGGGGAATGGAGCGAGAGTCTCCTGGGCTGAGGTTGAGCTGCCTCCCGCAGGTGAGGAGGGCCCAGATGAAGCCAGTCCATTCACATGTGACCTGTAGCCTCGCAGCGCTAGCACTCCTGGCCTTCGCCCGGTCCCCGCTTGCGATTTATAGTAGAAAGTTAATTTCGCCCCCCTGCCGCCCACCTTTCCTTTACCGGATTTGGATCTCTTGCACATGTTTTTAATAGGCATCCCTTAATCCAAATGTTGCCTTCTGGGTTTCATTCTGTTTTATTTTCCTTAAACAAAACAGAAAGTCTATGCCAGCTTGGAATAGGGCTCAAAACTGAAGCCAGCCAATGCGTTAGGTTGGCAAGGGGCCAATCATGAATTAAGTGCCCCATGCCACTCAAGAAGTCTGGCCGACACCACACCAGTGGGGGCAGGGGCCCCAAATGGCTGGAGCTGGAGGCTCCTGCGTCTCCAACACCTCTGCTCCAGAAAGAGAGATTAGCACAGACTCAGTAGTCTAGCCGGGAGCGGGGCTATTTGAAGGGAAGGCTTTGGACACGCGTCACCGTCTGCCACTCCAGGTGCGCAGAGTCCTTGGCCTGGAGACACGAAACCACTCTCCACTGGGGCAAGTCACCTTACTGCCGTCGAGTCGTCCTCCCAGAGGGGCCTTTGGATGCCATGTCTTCAGGTCCTTTTCAAGAAGCAACCTTATGTAAAGATGCTTCTGCATTTGTTGGGAAACTCTTGAAACCAAGGCTGGCCAGCTGGCTTGATTGATGTGGGGGATGGGTTGCCACTTGACAGATTTCTTAAGATTTAGTGCCAGGACAAATGTTGTTTCCTCTGTGGAACTAGTCCACATTGTCTGTCCACCAACCAGAACCATGTAGCATATTAGGCTCCCTTTTTTCCTTGTCTGCTAGGAAGCTCAGAGCCAAGCTGAGTGCTCTTTCAGTAGCCATAACCTCATGGTTATCCTGTCTAGAGCCTTCTCCTTTCCAGGGTCCTGACGTTTTGTTTGTCTTGTACTTAACCATGGTGTGGATAAGTCTTTTGGTGGGAAAGAAATGAGGGCGTGCATGCGGTTTAAAAATAAAGTGCTGTTCAAAGGAGAACCGAGGTGGTGGCCATACTCTTTGTCCTGCAGCTCTTCTTGCAGACAGGCCTGAGGAAGCAGCTGAGGGGTGATGGGAAGGAGGAAGACGAAAGGCAGCGCTGGCTTTCAGTTGTTTGCAGAGAAGAGTAAATGCATGGCTGGGGGTGCTGCTCCGGTTCAGTCCTGCTTCTGAACTCAGGTCAGCTCATCCAAACAGCACTCTCCGAAATGGCAGCCTTCAGATTTTGCCTTGGCCTGACTCTGCTCCTCCCCGCAAACGAGCATCTTCTTAATTATGTGTCAGGCTTCTGCATCCAGTGTTTTCCACAACACTGTCCAGTGTGTGTCTGTGAGTTGCAGGGATGTTTGGATAAAGGCTCAGATCTGCTTGGGAGGGCCTCCTGGGCTGGGACTCCCAGCCCCTCTCTGATTCTGAAGCGCCTAGCAGCCTACACCTCTGCAGAGCATGGTTCCGGCACCATGTTACCCAATGGGTGGCCTGCCGGCCTTTCTTCTTTTGATGGGTGGCCTGTGTCAGTGTTCCCAGGAGCCTAGCTCTCTCTCTTCTGCCTGGACTAAGCCCAGGGGGTGCTGGACAAGGCTTTATAATCTAGGGATGAGAACTCGGTTCTGTTCTGCACTTTGCCAGGGCAGCTGGGGCCGGCCCAGATCAGCCACAGCTGCCTCTTCTGGCTGACCCGTGCCAGAAGCACAGTGACCTGGATGGTCTGCTCTGGCTGTCTTCTACACTGCAGTCACTGCTCGGATGGAAAACTGAGGCCAGAGAGGTAGGTCATGTCCCCAAGGTCACACAGCAAGGTCAGGAAGCCTGCCCCTGGGCAGTGGTGGCCCGCTGCCCTTCCCCATTACTTCTTGGCCCTGACATGTTGCCTGATCACTTTGAAGGCTTGGATTGCACTTGGATTTCTTTTTTTTTTTTCTTTCTTTCTTTCAAGATTTTCAAAGCAACATAGCTCACATTTTAGTGACCACATTGTTTAGAATAAAGCTTATCTCACTGGAATGTCAAAGCATTGAGCAACGCCAGAGCTGAGTGTGGCTGACGTGGCTCAATGCAACCTCAGGGGCACAGGCCACAGGCCATGGTCGCTCCTGCCCCGTCACTACCCCCCTTACCCATTAAGTAGCTTAGATCCCCTGCCTCCCGTCCTCTTCCCTTGGTCCACCCTGGGAAGGGAGGAAAGGGGAAAGGAGGCTTTGCCCCTCTTGTGATGGACGTCAGGACAGGAACAGGACGTTCTCACGTTCATATAATCAAAGTTACTGTAATTAACACCGTTTACGGAGTGCCTGATGCCTGCCCTGCACTTCACACAGGTTATCTCAGTTTATCTACAAACAGCACCTGGTGGTAAAGAAGATTCTCCACTCCGTGGCTAGGGGTTTGCTCACAGTCGCACAGCTAGTCCGTGCCTGAGTGGAGAGTAAACTCCGGTCCATCTGGCTTTAAAGCTTGTGCTCCATGATCTGGTTAAACATCTAGGGCAGTGGTTTTCATCTGGGAGTGATTTTGCCCCCGAGAAGACATGTGGCAATGTCTGGAGACATTTCTTATCATCACAGCTTGGGAGGGTGAGATGGACATGTGCTACTGGCATCTAGTGGGTAGAGGCCAGGGATGCTCTGCTAAATATCCTATAATGTACAGCATCCCCACCTCCCCCTAAACAAAGAATGATTTGACCCAAAATGTCAATAATGCCAAGGTTGAGAAACCTGATCTGGATGTCCTGACCCCCCAGCTGACGCTTCTGGGGTGTTTTGTGTGCAGGCATGTTATGGTCTGCAGCTCCTCCCGTGTGTTTAGGTTCTCTCTACCTTCAGAAGGGATTGTGGGCACCCAGCCCCCCCCCCCCCCAGAACAGCTTCTGATTTTCCTCTCTTGGGCTTTACACACTTTCAGAGGTCTGGTGAGCAGAGGTTCCTGGTGGGTTCTCGCTCCGGGAAGTTGCCTGGCCGGCAGAGAGCAGGGGTCTCAGCCAGTGCTGAGACTTGGCACGGTGAGCCCTTCCTGTTGCCCTCACCAGCTTGCACAATATGCACCCTGAGTAACCAGGTGGCTCCAAATATATTTAAGGGCCAGAGTGAGTGGTCCGGGCTGGAGGTCAGAGATGGAGGAATGAGAATGAGCAAGAGACTCTGATTCTCCAACCAGTGGGTGGGGTTCACGTAGGCAGTGAGCGGGATGTGGTGGGCCTCAGCACTCCCAGCCTAGGTGGGAGCCGTGCAGTGCCAAGAAGCCGCTGGAAGGGGCTAGACTGGAGTGCTGCGGGGTCCTGTTAGAATGCTGTGGCACTCATGCAGGTGAGGAATGATGAGGGCTGGCCCAGGGCTAAGAGGATGGACCCACCGAGGTGTGAGAGATGATGCAGAGATGGGCAGGAGGAAAGCAGGGGCACCTGGCAGGAGTGGGGCTCGCAATGGCTGGAGGTGACGGGAGAGCTAGGGAGTCACAGGAAAGGTGATCTGGGATCACGTGAGGGCAAGCCTCTATTTCAGGGGTTCCCAACTCTTCTGAGAAAGAGAACAACCCTTCACAAGGTGGCAGCTTTGCTTTGAGGAGCCCCTAGTTGAGACTGACAACTAGGACAAATTAGGAATTTCCTTTAGGTGAGTTTGTGTCTTAGCCATCCGGAGAGATGGCATCTGGATGCATTTGTGAGGTAGTTTCTGTAATGAGAGACATGGACCCGGTTCTCTCTGCAGATGGCGCCTGGTGCCTGTGTGCTTGCAGACACTGAGCACAGTGTGGAAGCCCCTGGGCTGCGCCAGCCTTTCATTTTATGGGTTTGGACACTGCTGCCCGACAGGCTAGGAGTTTGCCCAAGACCAGGCAGAGCCAAAAGCTGAAAGCCCTTTTGGGGACAGAGATCAGCATGGGTTACTTCGGGGACCTTGAAGAGAGGCTGGGAGGTGACTGCGTCAGTGGCGTGGCCCGACCGCCGGGAGTGCGTGGGGCCCATCCAGGGGTTTGCCCAGGTGCCAGTTGGTGTCTGGCCCTCTTCGGGTTTGGCCCAACACCTCCTTGAAGACTGCTTCCACCCAAGGCCGGGCCAGGCGGGGCAGGGCCTTTATGAGCTAAAACTAAATGAAAAGTGGCAAGGCCAGGGGAATGCTTCTCCAAACACCTGAGTATTTTGTCCCATTGGATCCTGCAGGTTTATAGAATAAAAGGCATGAGGGCGGGGGGATTGTAAAGACCCTCTGAGAGGTGGGGAAACAATCTTCTGGAGCATCCAGGGGACCCCATCAAGGAGCTCGGGACCTGGGTTCCCACTGACCCAGCAGCCTGGCCTGTCTCCTCAGACCTGCAGCCCGTCACCTACTGCGAGCCGGCCTTCTGGTGCTCCATCTCCTACTATGAGCTGAACCAGCGCGTCGGGGAGACATTCCACGCCTCGCAGCCGTCCATGACGGTGGACGGCTTCACCGACCCCTCCAACTCGGAGCGCTTCTGCCTCGGGCTGCTCTCCAATGTCAACAGGAACGCGGCCGTGGAGCTCACTCGGAGGCATATCGGTAAGGGGCGCCTGTGTTTCCGCCACCCTCCCACCCCCACTCCCACTCGGCTGTGCCTCCTGCTGGAAACTGGGGAGAGGACTCACCCCCCCATCCCCACCCCCACATTCTGATTGCCTTGTTTAGGGGCCAGACAGGTAGAGTTCAGGTTGCTTGGTCATTCCCGCTCAAAGACACACATCATCCCTGAAAATCTGAAAACCACAGAGGAAAACACTTCACTTAAGGGGACGAGAAAGGGACGTCTACAAGAAAGCAACATATGCAGTTCTCTTAATAAAAATACCTTAAATTACTGACTGGTGGATGAGCAGCTAGCCAGTCTTGGAGAAGTGATCTTTTCTTTGTTAATTTCTTATATGATTATCCTAGGAGACTTAGAAAAGGTAGAAGGGTAAGAATTGCCCGCATGTGGTAACACTCTGCCTCCTAACACGGAGCATGGCGAAAGATCACTTAGTTTAGGGAAGATGAAGCTATGGGATGTGTCACTTACTTTGCTCATAAAATTATCATGCTAAGGATATTCATAATTTTGTGATCCAGAGTCACGTAGAAGGGCTGTATAGATGGTGTGGTGGGGCATTCTCAGGTGTCGTCCGCAGCCCCCAGGGTTAGCCAGGGGCTCCGGGGCAAGCTCAGGGGCTGGGCAGGGCAGCAGGGGGTCTGGCCCACGTGAACCAGAGCACCTCTGCTCTTTGTATTATATCTTGGGCATTCACAGATTTCATTTGAAAAGAGGATTTTGTAGTTAAGAGAAGAAAAGTTTGGAAGCCATGGGTCTGAGCTGAAGTGCTCATTCTCCAGGGAATAGTCTGATGCCCAGGGAGAGGCAGAGCCCTGCAGAGGCCCCACAAGGAGTGTGACACAGTCGGTGACAAACAGGCCCCTGCCGCCGAGCCTGTGTCCTTCCCAAATGGCCTCTCCATTTGTTTTACTTTAAAAAAGATACTGATCCTGGGTGGCGTACACAGGTGTTTACTTATTCTCTTTATACTTTCCTATATTAAAAAGATATATTTCAAAAATCAACAAAACAAACGTTGTTCTTCTTTTTGCCTGGGTCTTCCCATTTCCACCTCTCCCTCCCCCGGCTCTTGACGACATAACACAGCAGCCCCTCCTTGTGGACCCCGAGTCTGCCGGCACCCTGCATGTTTGTGAGACCCAAGTCCTGCAGCAGCGGCCCAAGAAGAAACGGGGAGTGGAGTGGGTGGGGATGGGCAGTAGTGGGCCGAGGGGCAGGGAGAACAGTTTCCATCCCACTTGACGTTGAGCCTGGAAAGTCTGGCTTTGTGTTCCGGCCCTCTGGGCCTCTTCCCCGGGAGCAGGAACAGAGACCTTCCCATGCAGGCGAAGGGAACATCCCCTGGCTGGGCAGAGAACTTGTCAGAGCGTTTACGTAACTGCTTGAATTGCAGAGCCAATTTAAAAATAATTTCTGTCCATCTGGAGTGGATTTAAGAGATGAAGGAAAAGTAAATGATATAGACTTACGGAATGTTTTAGAAAAATGCACTGAGGGGAGGAAGGTACGGGGGGTAGCATTAAGCCATCCCTGCAGTGAAGGGCTGCTGGGTATCTGCTGCCTCAGGAGGAGCCCTGCCAGTTTACTGAACGAATTTCTGAACCTTGGAGTGGGAGGGGACTTAGTGGTAGTAGGAACAGCCGAGCTTATGAGGCACTCACTGTGTGTCTCACAGCAACCCTGTGCGGGAGGTATTATTATTATCCCTATTTTACAGATGAAGAAACTGAGGCCCATGGCTAATCAGTGGCAGAGGCTATCACTGAGACAACTCGTGCTCTTTTCTCACATTATCTGCCTCCTCTGGCTTTAGGAACCCGGCATTGCCCGTCATTTCCCCAGTGCAGGGTAGCCTTGGGCTCTGGGTCCCATTTCCCTGGTAAAGGGAAAGCTGGCAAAGAACCAGTTACTTGGAGCATCCACTGTGGCTCTGCCCCCTGTGCTGGCCTCAGCTAGCCCAGGGCTCTGGTTCAGTCTAACAGGGTTTTCTCTAGGGCGAGGCGTGCGGCTGTACTACATCGGAGGGGAGGTCTTCGCAGAGTGCCTCAGCGACAGTGCTATTTTCGTCCAGTCTCCAAACTGTAACCAGCGCTATGGCTGGCACCCAGCCACGGTCTGCAAGATCCCACCAGGTAGGACCACCTGCACACCCACCCCTGCCCTGGGGTCCTCTCCCCCGTGGTGCGTGGCCAGGGCACTGGAGAGGTTTCCCCTTTCTAACCTTTTCTCCTCACCAGTGTTTGCGTTGCCAACCTGGAGGTGCTTGGCTTGGGTTTTCTCTGTGCCTTACTGTCTTACTGTGCTCTCCCTGAACCTCCAGGGAGCTGACGCAGTGTCTCATGGATCTGCCTCTGACCTGTGGGTACCTGCTCGTTGCCCTGTGTGCACAGATGCTCAGGCAGTATCCATCCTTCCTTCCTTCCACAAACCAGCATGCGGGGCACCATGCCAGGTGCTGTAGGGGGTTGGAGGGGTGCATGAAGCCCTGCTGCTGTCCCCATAGACCTTAACGGACCAGCCAAGACAAAGACACGAATGATTTAATACAAGGGAGGGTACTAAGCACCAAGCAAGTAGCTCAGATAAGGTGCTGTTGGATCTAGGGGGCAAATGGGTGGATCTGGGAAGGCTTTGTGGAGAAGGCATTTGGGCCTTGAAGGATGGGTAGGCATTAGGTACATGGTGATGGTGGGGTGGGGACCGTGAGGGCTTTCCAGACAGTGGGAACAATGCAGACAGAGGCCCACAGGTGACAGCGGGCAGGCGGCAGGACACGTATGGGCGGCACTCTAGCTGGAGGAGAGACCAGGTAAAAGACGGGGGAGATGTTTAGAAAGGATGATGGGACCAGGCCTTGGAAGGACATGAGAAAGTTTTGCTTTTACAGTCACGTGTCACTTAACAACAGGGATACGTTCTGAGAAATGCATCATTAGGCGATTTTGTCCTTGTGCGATCATAGAGTGTGCTTAACAAACCTAGATGGTGTAGCATACTACACACCTAGGGTGTATGGTACTAGTCTGATGGGACCACCGTCATATGTGCCTCCGTCGTTGACTGAAACATCGTTATGTGGCACATGACTGTATTCTGGGGAACTGTTGCGAGTCTTCTGAGCAGGGCTGATGAATCCACACCACGAACGGATGTCAGGCTGCACTTCAGACGGTAGCTTATACAGGACCAGGCCTAGGCAGCAAGACCAGGCAGGAGGCTGATCCCATCTAAGGCCTCGTTACTTAGAAAACCAAAGCAGAAAGCCCCAGCCAAAGCCGACTTGTCACCTGACACGCAGCCACTGGGCATGAGCCCGCAGACCGTGGACTGTGACTGGCTGGTGGAGTGTGTGGCCTGGCTCAGGCCGTTGACCGTGGCACACATGTGGCATGTCTTTTCCTGCCTGGTCAGTAGCAGATGATGGAGCAGTGGGCCTTGGGCAGGGTCAACTTAAGAACGCGGAACGTGGGGCCAGCCTGGTGGTGCAAGCGGTTAAGTGCGCGCGCTCCGCTGCAGCGGCCCAGGGTTTACCGGTTCGGATCCCGGGCGCACACCAATGCACTGCTTGTCGGGCCGTGCTGTGGTGGTGTCCCATATAAAGTGCAGGAAGATGGGCACGGATGTTAGCCCATGGCCAGTCTTCTTCAGCAAAAAAAAAAAAGAGGAGGATTGGCAGATGTTAGCACAGGGCTGATCTCCTCACAAGAAATTTTTTAAAAAAAGAATGCAGAACGTCTGCAATGATGAACAGTGCTCTTCATTTCCAGAGCATTGTGTGGTTGTGCTTACAGAGTACATTTATGTCTCTGATCTCACTTGGTCCTCTCCTGTTATCATGGCTCTTCAGGTGAGGAGGCATGTGGAGGAGACAAGTTCAGAGACGTTAAGCCACCTGCCCAAGGACATACAACTAGTGAATGGCTGAGTCAGGGGGAGCCTAGAACTGACTCGAGTGCTTCTCAGCTCGGCTAGGGGCTGCAGCCCATGTCTGACCCTGCCTCACCACACTTCCCCTTGGAGAAAAGGAGAAGAGGAAGCTTAGCTGCATTGTTGGCATTCCGCCCCCTCCCTTCCAGAGCCCTCCCCCGACCTTGCTGGTGAAGGCTGAGTTGGCTGTGGTGGTATTGGTTAGCTCATGGAGTGTCAGAGCTGGGAGGACCTCCGAGGCCAGCCTCTCATTTTACAAAGGAGACAGGCTCACAAAGAGCAAGTGACCAGCCCAGAGTCACACAGCAAGATTAGGAGCCCAGTGTTGGCCCACTGATGCACGTCTCCTCAGCTCACCTTTCGGGCAGTTCCGGCATGTGCTTTTGTCTCTCTTTTTCTGGTTGACACATGCCTGGCACTCAGGTGGCAGGACTTCAAACAAGAGATTTATGATGAACTTTATCTGTGCCTGTCTCTAGTTTTACTGCTTGGAGAGTTAGAAACATATCTTCACTCTGCTGCGAATGTCACCCCGACCAAGTCTTGTGCCCAGAGGCCAAAATGTGGCCCAGATCTCTCGCCCCCTCCTGGCCCCAGCACGAGGCCGATTCATCAGAGGAGCCAGGGTGGAAGGTGCCCTGGGACCCTCTGCTGAGCTTCCTGTTGGGATGGCAGGCCAGGCAGCCTTTCTGCTGGCCTGTCCCTGCCGGCACTCCCTCTATCAAGTGGCAAGGGCTCCTCCTGTTGCCCAGGTGGTCAGCCGTGGGCATTCAGCTTGGGGCCCTTGTCTCTCTGTTCCCTGGAGTCCTGCCTTGGTTCCTTTGTCCAGGTCAAGGCCCCCCTCTCCGAACCATCTCCCTTGTTCTTGGTAGCCCACTTCACAGTCTTCCTCAGCCTTCCCACAGCTCTAGGAGTTGGAGCTTACAGGCCAGTGTTTAATTCTCCCCCTCACATATGTCAGCTGCATCTCCCCATTGAGGAGGTGATGGCTTCAAGGGCAGGGACTGAGTGGGCCCCTCCCCAGCATGGTACTGAGCGTGGAGTATGTCACCAGTGCGTGGCATGACCATGTGACACTTCAGCCATGTGAGTTATGCCATTCTGGGTGCTCCAGGGATGGCTTTAGCTAGGAGGGGAGCACTGGACACGTATGCTTTTCATCCCCACAAGCACTGTTTGGGTTCTGTTGGCAGGCTGCAACCTGAAGATCTTCAACAACCAGGAGTTTGCTGCCCTCCTGGCTCAGTCTGTCAATCAGGGCTTCGAGGCCGTCTACCAGCTGACACGAATGTGCACCATCCGCATGAGCTTCGTCAAAGGCTGGGGAGCAGAATACAGGTCAGATCTGGGTGCCACATGTCACAGGGACTACGGGTGACTCAGACAGCAGAGCAGGGGCTCCTCAGAGATGAGCCAGGCCAGCCCTCACCCGAAGAGCAGAGAGACCTAAGGCTCAAAGAGAGGCCACGGCCTGGCAAGCCAGGAGGGGCCCAGTCTCACTAGATAAGGAACAGCTGAGCACTGCTCGCCCAGCACTTCAGTTTCTCAAGCACTGTGAACACACATGTTCCGTTTTATCCACCACAACCCTGGGTGGGGACATTGGCATCCTCTTTGTGTGGATGAGGAACCTAAGGCCCAGGGAGGGAGAGAGACTTGCCTGAAGTCACATCGTGAGTGGAAAAGCTGAGCCTAGAGCTGTGCCCTCGTGGCTTCTTCCTCGTTGCTCATCTGGGGCAGATGGTTTTAGGACGACCCTCTCCAGGGAGTTAAGTCTTCATCTTATTGTTCCTTCCCTCCCCTGTGGCTCCCTCTCTGACTTGGGGGACCCTGAGCATCTAGGATGTTAACACTGAGAAGCAGGGAAGGGAGGAGGAAATTTGGGGTGGTCATAAAGGAACAAAGGTTACTTGCTCAGAAAAACGATTTTTTTCAGAATTTCAGATATTGATTTAAACACGGCACTGAGCAGGCCTCTACCTGGTCTGCTCTGCTGAATCTCTCAGACCATTCTGGTTTGGGCTTAGAGGATCCAGTCCCTTTTCTCTCCCACCTGGACAGGAGTTCCCTGAGATGCGGGGCCGTGTGCCCGGCCTGCTGCTCCCCGCCCCGCCCCCCCCAGCGCCCAGCCCCCAGCCCCTCGGCAGACGCTGGGGTACCACACGTCAGCCGGGGCCAGCGCTCTGCAAGCTGCTCTCCCCTTCTCTTCACTTTTCCAGATGTTTGGAATCCATGTTGTTGTGCAGTCATTCTGCACCCGGGCCAAACCCATTTCAGTGTTGGCTCTGGGCCACCGTTCATAATGAAATCCAGATGAGCATGACTTATGGAAAGTCAGATTCTCATTAGAGGATTTCGCTCCATAAAATCCTCTTCTTCCATTTACCGTATTTTAGCTGCTGTTCCCTGGGTCTGTTCCACAGTGCCAGAGAACATAGCACCTTGGTCTGTGGGGTCTCTCTGAAATCCGGGATGAATGACCAATTGAGCAATCCGAGTGGTCAGACCTCAGGAGAACTTGCAACCCAGTTATGACGGCCTGAGGAGATTATCCCAGGCCCAAAGGCCCAGCCTGAGGGATGTTCTAGCCCACCTTTTAGCCCTGGCTGGAATCATTTAGGGAACAGGGGTTGAAAGGTTAGAAAATTAATATTTTTTCAGTGGGGGAGGGAAATATTTAAAGATGGACCCCAATGGAAAAGAGCCAGAGGGAAGTCCGTTTGCTCTTTTTACACTCAGACTGCAGTCCAGGGGGCCACACTCTGGTACCCCAGATCAGGCAGGCACCCCAGGGCCGAGTCCACAAGCCCACGTCTAACCCTCCACTCGAGCGAAGTGTCGGTGCAGCAAGGAGTGCCGTGTCTTCGGGCCAGCAGCCCTTAACCTGGCGCGACACCGCGGCGCGACACCGCGGCCCTCCAGCTTCAAGTGCTGGGAAGGGGCCCCTTGGTGGTGGAAGCCTATCCCTAAGCACCGTATCACCGTGCAGGACATGCTGCCAGCACACCCAGTCCTGTGCGACCCACCACGTCACTGCCACCTGGCAGCAACACAGAGCAGCCTCACTGGTGGGTGCGGCCCGTTCCCAGAACAGTCTTGCCCTCCTTCTGCCTCTTGGGCCAGGGGAGTAAGGTTTCATCCCCTCTGTCTGTGAGGTGGCCGAAAGCGGGGCCTAGGGCCCAGGCCTCTCACCTCCAGCTGGCACCAGTGCCTCCGGCCTCAGCAGATAGCCTCTGGGAGCTCGCCTGCGAGCTGCGTCATCAAGCAGCCTGAATTTAGACAAAGTGCTTTGGGGAAAAGAAACGTGTGGTGTGCCTTGGTTTTTTCCAGTAATTGTTCCATGGCTCGCTCTGCTTGTAAGATTTTCCAAAATAAGGCCATAGATGGGAATTATATCAGCACACTGGGAACCGACGGCATGTGGACTCTGTCGGCGCTTTGTAAAAAACACCCCTCAATCAGACAGACACGCGTCATCGTGGGCTGCTGGGGGCCCGGCCCGGGGCTGGAGGTGGAGGAGCTGTAGGTGCCCATTCAGGACGGAGGGGACCCAGGGAGACCTTTGCTCAGGCTGGAGGTTCTCCATCCGGGGGCCTATCATAGCAACTGGTGGGCCTCGGGGTACCCTGGCATTTGCCTTACGTGCTTAATTCTTTAAGGGCCACCTCCTTGCCCATCAAGGGAATCTTATTTACTCAGAACTCTTCCTGGTTAGCCTGGCAGTCTCAGCAAGTTATTGGCACCTCCTCTAGGGCAGGATCTAGCAAGGCAGGAGGCCTATCTCTGGCTCTGAGAAGACGACTGTCACCGAAGCAGAAAAAGTTGTTCTGACTTGTATATGTGTCCATCTGGACATGTTTTAAGTCCCCCACCCCACCCCTTTTCCTCTGTCTTGCAGGAGACAGACAGTGACCAGCACCCCCTGCTGGATCGAGCTGCACCTGAATGGGCCTTTGCAGTGGCTTGACAAGGTCCTCACCCAGATGGGCTCCCCAAGTATCCGCTGTTCCAGTGTGTCTTAGAGACATTGGGTGTGAAGGGGGAGGGTGGGGAGGGTGGGCTTGGGGGAAAATGGCCAAGTAGGAGGTGGAGAAAATCAGAACTCTACTCAACTCATTGTTGTCAAGGAAGAAGAAATTTTTCTCCCTCAACCAAAGTGGCACCAACCTGTTTTCCAAAACACAGAAGCAAACCCAGAGATGGATTTCATGAACAGCCGTGTCTGCTGAACACATTTGCCCTCTGGCCCCAGTTTGAAGGGCAAGAAATGGCTTCTGCTCTGGTGGCTTGAGCAAACAGGTAGTATTTCACCACCTGCCCCCTCCCCAACCCCCTTCTCTTTTAATGACAGCAACCAGGATGTCACTGTCCAAGAGGAAATGGCTCTCTTCAGGAGTGGAGTGTGGAATTCACCTTGGGTGTTCTAGGTGGGGAACAGCCTGCAGGGGTTTGAGCAAACCTTATGGCCAGCCCTCTGGCGCTTTTGACAAAAGCTTCTTCAACTGAACATTCCGGAGCCGGCCCTCCGGCCCACCCCGCACAAACCCCAGAGCTGGACTGACTTGGGGTGGGGAGGGGGCTCGTCCGTCTCCTCCCCTCTCAGAGCAGACTGATTGGTGTGAGCGGTGTGTTCAGATCGTGCACACAGGGACAGTGGGGGAAAGTTGGTGAGCGACACCTCTTTAAAAATGCTCTTAAGAAATCTATCCTTTCTCCTTTGAGCAGTTGGAGGATCTGCTGAGGCTCAGTGCGTATGCAGTGTATAGTTTATATTACGTTAATCTCAGAGAGATTTGAATTACGTGAAACAGTCACATGAAGCAGGAGGCAGTTGTCACGTGACGGTGTTCGGGCTAAGGCAGCACTACGTTGCATGGGTCTCCAGTTATCTGTAAGAGCTCACTCCGTCTTCTCTTGCATTTGGCTATATTGGTTCATGTAGTCAGTTGCATTAATTAAATGAACTTACTTATATGCTCTTTTAAATGTTTTATATTAAAAAAAAAAAAAAATCCTGGGTTGGCGCATTGACTGAGAAACCAGAGAGGGACCCAGCAACTTCTCTCCTGAGGTGAAGCTTTTCCAGGTTTTGTTGAGAAGACACCTGACAGCACTTTTGGAAGCTGAAATTAAGAAGCAAATTCACCAGAAGGGAAAAATCTCAGGCCAACACAGGCAAATGAAAAGGGCTATTGAAAATTTTTTACACCTTTGAAAATTGCAGGCTTGGTGCAAGGAGGTCTGTCATCTTTCCCCTGGGATATAAGATTATCTAGCTCACAGTGGAGGATCCTCAGTGACAACTATAGCAGCTATATCGTGTAATAAGTACTGTTCCCAGTGGCAATTAGTGAGATTGTTTCAACTGGAAAAAAAGAGCCCTTTTCTTTGGCCTTTGCAGAATACAGCAGACAGAATTCCCATTTGCATTGGTACTTTATTCTTTGCTGCTGTTTTTGTGTGAAATGACTTATCCCATACTTTTTCATGGATTTCTACCAGGAAAAATAAAAGGATTTCCTATGGAAGTCCTGTCTTATTCCAGGTGAAGAAAGTGGATACTTGGGGCAGGTATAAACCTCCAATGTGATGACATTTCTGATGCTATATGGAGACGCTGGGGGCTTCCTGGTGCCTCACCTGCAGGATCCTACACTTCTGAAGCTCTAGCCTTGAGGTTTCCAGATAGGCGAGCTGCTCACCAAGCCTCCTGAGGACACAGGCAGACGGGAGGAGCGCCTTGACAGACCTGTGCTAGTCTTCTCGAAGGGCTGCTGACACAGAACCAGAGACAATGCAAAACCCCTCACTCCACCCGAGATGGCCAAATACTGCAAGTCTGAAGTCTGTGCCTGGTGTGAAATGATCTGTGGGCCGCTGCTTACAGACACAGGAGGCTGTCTGAACGTCCTGGATGTGTATTCATGCTCCTGGTCAGGTCTGAGCTCGTGGTATGAATTGTTCCATTTTGGCTTCTGCTGGAGCAATCATAATGCTCCTCCTAAAAGCCTTGGGCAGTGGTCTCTGAGGGTCTGCATTCTCCACCTGCTACATGATCCCCTTTGCGGGCTTCCTATGGCACACAGCTGTCTTCCAGGTACTTGGGAACTGGCTCCAGGTACAGCCCAATTTTGGTGATCCAGTGGGCACGTCTGGCTGCCTTCGGATGGTATCTTAGAACCCTCAGTGCTCAGAGCTGAAGGCTCCTAGGAGGCATGAAGTTTTAGTTCTGTGTTTTTCCAAATGCTACTCACTTGCCCCTGTTTCTTTGTAGACTAGACTGCTGGAGGAGGATGTATGAGAAAAATGTAGGTAAGCCCACCTTTGGCACCACTGAAAATAAATTCGGCCCTACTCAGAGGTTAGGACCTGGTGCCAGTCCCATCAGAGAGGCTGTGTGGGTGCCTTGGGGCATGTGTAATATTAGTGTCCTTCTTTTAAGTCACAAAACTAGTTTTCTTAGTTTTAAAATCCTGTTGTATGAAAGGCATTTATACATTAAAAAACTTTTTTAAAGGACACTTGAAAGGGGCATGAGGAAATAAGGGCAGTTCTAGAGGGGTGACAGTAGCTGCTGGAGAGCAGTTTTACTTTACGTGTAGTTGTCCCAGCTACACTACGTGCGCTATTCCCCCACCCGGGCGCCCCACCAGCTCCCTTCACCTGGCGGCTTTTGCTGACAGTGACCCTGTGCTGACACTGACCAGAGGACAGCTAGCACTGGGGCCTAGATCCTCTGCCTCGGCACCGCCCCAGGAGCCAACTTCTGTTCCCTTTCCTCTGCTCCCCCCACCCCTCACTTTATTTAGTAACTTAGATCCTTCCAGCGCCAACGTAGGTAGCTGCCCCACCAGGCTCGGGTGACAGGCCTGTGCTGGAACATCATCTCAGTTGGCCACCTTCCTGGCAGGCTGTAGAGCTGACATTTTGAGACAAGCCCAGAGTCAGGAGCGGGGACTTTGACTCTTTTTCTAGGGAAGAACACACATGAGGGCAAGGCTGCTGGCAGACTTCTCCATTGTCCTTATGTTGTCTGTGTTGTATTTTTTTATTGACCATGGTGATTATTTTTTTAAATCATTGTTAATGTATTGGAATGAGCTGTAGCACATGTCTCGTGCTTAGTTTGTTTTGTTTTTCTCCATCTCCCCTTGGCTTCCTAGAGTTTGGACATATTCCAGGGCTAAATGCTTTTACTCAAACCGCAGAAAAAGGTCTTATTTAAGTAATGTGTGCCTGTCATGCATGTATGCGCGTAGTCTGGGGAGAAGGCCTATATCTGATTTCATTCTTAGCCTCAAGCTGCCATTTCGGAGGCTTTGGGATGGTCTCTGCAGGGCCGGAGCTCACCTTAGGCCACTCTCTGTATGCCTTAAAGGAAAGCGAGGGAAAGGAACCTGCAGACTGCTCATGGGACTGTTGACCAAGGGGTTACCAGTGGCACGAGCTTAGTTCTGGACCTGTGTCTTACTGTGTGACTGACTGGCAGAGTTGTGAGTTTTCCCAAAATCTAGAAAAAACCCTCAACATAGCTAAGTTGTACCATTTCTCTTTCTGTGGCATAAATGTCCCCTTCTAGAACCTCTTCAAGTAACAGTCTTCATAATGTATATCACCCTTTTAAGGAGTACCAGCTACTTCTCAAGCGGGTGGGAAAGCAGAACAATGTGCACAAAAGGACACAGATCAAGTGAGGTGGCGTCTCTGTGGAAGGGAAATGACGTGATGTACAGCAACTTTTCAGAAACACAGCTATCACATAAAAACTCGCCTATCGTGTAAACTGGATTAAGAAGTTCTCTCAGTGATTCTGTAACTGATTTTTTTTTATGCTGAAGTAACGTACACTCTAGCATTCTGGTGTTTTTATATTTATGTAATAATTTCTTAAAACCATTCAAGACATAACTATTTAATTTGCTGAAGCAAGTTGGAAAGGTCTCCTCCCAGGGACAGTGGCTGGGAAGAGAATGCTGGCTGAAGGTGCAGTGGCTTTTTGGCTCAGGCTGGCCAGGCTGCTCAACGTGTGGCAGCGGGTGAAGACCAGTGGCTCAGAGTCAAGTGGAGGTCCCCCCACAGGGGCCTCCGAACCCAGCAGCTCCCCTTCCTGGGGGTGAGTGCTTGACACGGGGCTGGAGCTGCCTTCGCTCACCCCACTGCTGCTGGTGCGACTTGGCTGTCCTCTTCCTCGGCCAGCTAGTTTTGGTGTGCATTTCGGGGGGGAACTAGGACGTGGAAGATGTTACCTTCACTTCTCAGCCAGCCTGACCTTTTAATACCTTTGTAAAAAGCATGTATGTATTTATAGTGTTCTAGATTTTTCTAACTTTTGTATCTTAAGAGCAGAGCACCCCTTTAAGCATTGTACCCCTATTGTTAAAGATTTGTGTCCTCTCTCTCCTTCTCTTCCCCCTGTAAGTGCCCTTCTAATAAACTTTTCATTGAAAAGCTCCCATGCCAGGAGCTCAGTCTTATTCTTGCTGCCAAGTCTGAGTGGGGAGAAGATTTAACAGGGAGCCCAGCGGCATCCTGGGGCCTTCAGAACTCGAGGGCACCAGGGGAAACTATCTCCAGCCCACATGTACACTGACAGAGGATGCCACGTTGTGCCACAGCCTCCCGTAATACCCTCCCCCTCTGCCCTCATTCACTCACCAGGGGTAACGTGCAGTGCCAGCCAGGCCTTCAGTGAAAGCAGGAGCCCCAGGGTCAGCTGAGCAAAGGTCAGAAGTCTCGCAGTTGGTGCATCCCGCTCGCTCCCCACATCTAAGCATCGCTCACATCCCATCAATGCCGTCGCTGCACTGTCATTTTGAATTCATTTCCCCTGTACTTGAAGGCCTTGGGCAAATGGTTGGATGCCACCAGCTTAATCCTCCCACAGGCACGGAGGCAGTTGTAAATTCATAAATAAGTAGGTTTCCAGACCTTCCAGCTCAGATGACTTTGTTAGCTCCCATGAAAATTTATTTTAAATTCAAAACTCCCAAGGAGAAAGACTTCAAAATTGTTCCCTTGGCTGCATCTTACACCAGAGTGGATTAAGAAACAGGATGATTAAAATGAACAGAATCTGGGGAAGGAGGAGGACAGAATGGGGCTGGAACAGTCCTGTAGCTGGGCCACTTCTCTAGCAGTCTTCCTTCTAAGGACCTCACTGGAGTCTAAACACTTCCCGTACAGGAGGGAGGCAGACTTCACAGGAACCGCACCTGTGGGCCTCCATGAACTGCATCAAATTCCTACCTTTGTGATTCTTCCTGGCCAGTTCTACCCTCTTACCCCCCCACAAACGACTTTCCCCAAGGTTTTATCTAGTCTCTCTTTCTCAGCAAAAGACTCAAATCCACACCTGTAACCCAACCCGTTCCTTGAGCTCCACCACTTTAAATTCCAGCTGCCTGTTAAATGTGATCCAAAACGTAACACCCTCAAACCACCTTCTCTGACTCCCAGTTTTCATCAGTAGCCTCTCCCCCACTCTCCGAGTCCTGAGCAGCTTAACGCATTTCTTTTCCTTGCTCTCCATCACCTCTGTTGCAGCCGCCTCAGCTGCTCAAACCTCCCTTTTGGAGAGGCCCTACTCCCCGAACATCCCGGTTCTCCCTGGCCCCCCTCGCAGGAGCTCCTCTCTCGGGCCTGCAGCTCCTCCTCCTGCCTGCTCCTTCCGGGTTGGTGTTCCTAGACCACCACATGTACTGTTGACGTTCCTCCCTGAGTGAGCTCATCTACCCGCAGGAGTTCAAGCCACATAAATGCTAATGACTCCCAAATCAGTATTTATAGCCCAGATATCAATCCCAGGCTTCAGACTGCTATCCAACAGCCTGCTGGCTACTGGTACTGGGAGGTGCTGCAGGTACCTCAAACGCACAATTGAGAAAACAAAATTCATCATTGCCTTTATTAAACCATCCCCCCTCTCCTTTGGCTGTCAGCCCCGTTCTTGGCTCTACCATTTACCCACCCTATAGCTACAGAAGTCAGTCATCCACCACTCCCTCATCCCCCACGTCCAATCCGTCCTGTTGTCTCCACTCGCACCGCCCTGCACTTCAGGTCCTCGAGGACCTAGACGGGTGCACCAGCTTCCTAACCGCCCTCCTAGCCTCCAGCCTGCCTTCCCATAACTGCATCATCCACACTGCCCCCATGATCTACCTGACCTTAGATGGTCCCCCCAGTCCACAGCACAAATTCTAAGGTCTTGAACATGGACCACTTGACCCTCATCATTTGGCCCCTGTCTAGCTCTCACAACTGGCAGCCTACACTCTGAAACCCAGCAAGGTGTGGGGCGTTCTATATGTATACTTGTCTCCATGACTGCTCTGCTTGGAATGTCAACCCCTCTTCCCTAGTCTGCACCCCCTGCCCCGGCGTCTCTGACACACACCACCAGTTCACCTGGCTAACTTGCACTAATGCTTTGAGACTCAGTTCAGACATCTCCAGAAGCCTTTTGTGAATCTCACTATCGCCACAGACTCCTCAACTGTGTGTTACCCACGTCTGTCTCCTCTAGGCTAAGTTCTTTGAGAGTGGAGTTTATATCTTATTCATATGTGCCTGGCTTCTTTTGGCTGTCATATTTTTACAGAATAAATGAATCAATTACTGCCCATATCTAGTAGATTCTACCTTAGCAAGCTTTTGCATCCATTTCCACTGTGCTATCCTAGGGTAAGTCCTTATATATGGTTGAAGAAATGCCAACAAAATACAGTACCTGATTGATTACCTTTTATCACAGCTATTCCAATACTCTCCTAATCTGTCTCCCTCTAGTCCAGGGATGGCAAATACAGGGCAAAATTACCACCATTCTCTATTTCTCTATCCATGGTGAAAACCACTCATCACAGTGTTGGGTCCCTTCTTAGCCTCAGAATCCTTCTCAACACAGCTCTCTAGGCAGATAATGCTAATCAATTAGTGTTGGCTAATACTACTGCCAGATTTCCCTGGAATATAATTATGGTTAGATGTCTTTTCTGCTCTAAACCCCTTGGCTCCTCAGTCACCTCCAGAGTCGGCACAGGCTCCATAAAGCAGTATTTCAGGGTTGTCTCCAACATCACTCCATCCTTATCTACCACCATTTCTCTAACTGGACTACTGGGTTTTCCCAACATAACCCCTTGCTTTCTTATCTCCCAACGTTTGTTCACTAAGAATTCTGCTGCCTCCACCCATCTATCTGCCCAAATTCTTATCCTTATAGCTCAATTCGAGCATCACTTCCTCTAAGTCAGTGGGTCTCAAAGTGTAGTCCCAGGACAGCAGCATCAGTAGCACCTGGGACATTAGAACTGCACATTTGTAGGCCCCACCTCCTGAATCAGAAACTCTGGGGGTGGAGCCCTCCAGGTGATTCTGATGTGGCTCAAGTTTGAAAACCAGTGCTCCAAGGTGTACTTTCTGCTCTTCCCAACCCAGTCTGCTCTCTCCTTCCCAGGGCAATTAAGGCTGGGCATGGCACTATGCACATTCTGCCCAGCATTCTACCTTTTGTGCCCTTGTCTTGCTCGCCCCCTACTCCCACCTGAGTTAGACGATGAGCTCCTAGAGGAGAGAACCTGCACCCTTACCCAAGTCTGCAGCCTCTGGCGCACCCGGCGCAGTCTGGCGCCAGAAGGGTCCCAGTCAGTGTTGGCTGGACCCTTGAGTCCTTCCTTGTTTCAGCTCTCGCCAGGGTAAAGGAGCGGGTTACAGTTGCTTTTTCTGAACTTTAACTTCTTTGAGGCCTCCTAACACCATTAACAACTTCCTGAGCATTTCCTGGAGCAGCAGGAGTAATACAGACCATGTCCTTGGGCTTCACATGAAGAGAATCTTCTCTCTCCTAAATTACACTGCTGTTTCCATAAAATTCCTACCCTGAGCCACACTGAGCCCACATTTTTGTAGCATTAAAGCCACCTGGTTGATAAGGGAAAGGGGAGAGGCAATGACTGGTCACATCCTTCATAGAAGAGAACCAGGGAGGCAGGTCATGAATGGCTTTATGTGACCTTTTCATGCCTCCCCAGATCTGTAGTTGTGGGGAGGGAGTGTTTGATCCTATCAACAGATACACACAGATATAAAAGAGTTTCAGGGCCGGCTCCGTGGCTTAGCGGTTAAGTGCGTGCGCTCTGATGCTGGCGGCCCGGGTTCGGATCCCGGGCACGCCCCAAGGCACCACTTCTCCGTCCAACGTGAGGCCGAGACCCACGTACAGCAACTAGAAGGATGTGAACCTATGACATACAACTATCTACTGGGGCTTTGGGGGGAAAAAAATGAATAAATAAAATCTTTAAAAGAGTTTCAGAACAAACTTTTTTCTTCCCAAACCTGTGCTCCAAAGATGCAGTAGTAACCATTTAACCATTGTTAGGTCTAGGTTTTGAATCAATACTTTTCCAACAGGAAACAAAGTAGACTGTAAACCAGTAAGAGCTGGAATGGGACTCACTAGTGCTCCAACAAAAGACCCATACTGTTACTATCACCTCTTCTTCATTCTTCATTCTGCACATCAGAGAAACAAACACCTCAGAATCGAGCAAGACACTGCCTATACTAGAGGAACTGTAACATACACACATAACTCTGAATAAAGATATCTACACTAAGAGCAAGACTTGTGATGTTAATAACAGGCACAGGTAATGCCCAAAATATGAACCTTAGAGAATTTCTAAGATCCTTTCTGCAAGAGCTTACATGCCACAAGTGCAAGGATGGATCACTAAACTAAACCCTAAGTGGAATCTAAATCAAAACTGGAACTTTGCCCCACACAGTCAGCATGCTACTTTTATGAGACGTACAAATTATGGGGAAGTTAACAGGGTGCTGTTTTCAAACTGATGCTATACTAAGGTGGTACACTTGACCAGAATTCTTATACTTTCTCTACCTACAGTCTCTAGTAAGATTTGGTATTTAATGTCAGAATGCTATAGCTCAACTGTCTATTTTAACATTTTGGGGTGGGGGGTAAAGGGCAACTCTAACTCATTACAGCATTCTCTGGACCTCTGTCTCCATCAATCAGAATGTTCAATGAATCAGAACCTCTGACCACTAGACACATGTTTGCTAAATTTAGCTTTGCATCAGCAAACACTCAAGCTCAGAATAGTTCATGGAGCTCTCATCTTACCCTTAGACAGTGATTCTTCTAAGATTATTTTTCCATGGCAGGCCAAGTCAGGGTAAGGGGCACTCCACGTGCTCTCTCGATAGCCATTGTTAAGAGACTGGCCCAAGGTTAAGGGAATCCGACAAGCCATGGCAAAAATGTTTATCCCCACCTCTCCACAGCAGGAACATGAAGTCAGCCATATATCACATTTCACATGTTGTAAGTAGTTTGGAGTAATGGCCTGACATGCTCTACAGTCCTTGAACCACATCCCATATTACTCAGCCATCTAAGTCTAGCTTCCCTGAATCTCCAGCTTCTCTGAATTAGACATGGCCAAGTTCTATAAATAGACAGCAAGCAAACTGGTTCTGTCAATCTTCTCATACTCTGGCAGGATAACATATTTTAAAATTATAAAAATATCTATGTCTTCATCACTCTAAAATTATTACATAACACATGATCTTCTCAGGGAAAAAAAGTTTATCCTTGTCTCTCCCTACCTTTCAACAATCATGGACCTTCAAACTTTGTGATCATATTGATCAAACTATCAAATATGAATCCAAAGCAAAATTAAGGGCCTAGTATGTGCCAGACACTGTGTTACACAAACAGAGAAATGCTGAAGGAACAAAAACGCTGAGTCTCTCATTTTATATCCAGATAGTCCATAATTAGTGGTGGTGGCATGTACATAGGTCTCTTTAGATAGATGGCAACTTTCATTGCACCATTAGCTCATGATCACTCTTCTTAACATGGGCCTTTAGTAGATACCACTGGATACTTCTATCCCACATGTACCCTAGAGGGGCCAATATCCTCAGATAGCTGAGATCTTGAAAACATGAGCTGAATTATACATATGCGTGATGGATTCCAAAATAGTGAATTTGACAAACTCTTTGATTATTCACTGTTTATGCCTAATCCAATGAAGGAAGTAAGGCTTCCCCCACACACATCCCCTACTAAAAAACAACAAAATCATAATACATATTAGCAGACTTGATAAATAAATCACATTTTAATCTGGCTTTGTTTAATCCATGAAATCAAGTTCACAGCTTTTTCTAGTCTGTTTTCCCTAACCATGTGAGCTAATGTATTTTTGGAAACCTTTCACATTTTAAGAAAGACATGTTCCACCTTTCATTTTGCAACCCCCGAGCCAACCTCCCTTACATTTCTAATCAATAGCTAATGCAATCCCCTCAAAGAAACACTGATGGAATGGTGGTGAAATACAGCTTCAAAAACCTTCAGAATAGTAAAAATATGAAGGAAGAAAAAAAGTCACCAAGCAAGATAGCCTCTAATATTCCTGGAATGACTCTTCCTGAATGCTCCAAGCACTGAAACCTTTACTCCCTGTGGTCACTCTGGCAGGGACCTGGAGCATTCCATTCCTTTTACCACCTGTGTCAGGTTCTGCACTGCTTGAAAGGTGGTGCACAGAGGGGTCTGAAACTTGCTTCTGCCAGTCACCTAAGGGGTTTCATAGCCCACACCAGGCCAGAAGAAGTTCTCAGCCCATGGGCCGGCACCATCCAGCCCTGCGCCGCTTTAGAGCCATGGCAGTGACCGCCACAGCGAAGGTTAATGACATGCATTACAAAGTGTCTACAAAAACAGAAAGAGGAGTTTTATTTGCTGTATTTCCCAGTCTTCCTTTGGAAACTTTCCCTTTGGTGAAGTTTCCCAGTTCCCCTGGGGCTGACCCACTCAGCCTTGGAAGTCACACAAGGTACTCAAGGATTCATTGCCTGACCTTTCACATCCTTTCCCACCTCGCCCACTCCTTAGTGTTACTATTTTGGCAGTGATCTCTGTTTGGCTTTCAGAGAGAAAGAGGGGGAGAAACTTGCCTTGTTTTGAGGGTATAAAGTGTGACAACACACTCTGACATCTGAAGTAGCAGGGGAGAATTCTAAGGAAGAAGAGTTTCTTCACAGTAATACTAAAAGAAAAATCTCAGTATATGATCACAAACTGTTTCCATGGCCCATACAGGAACTTCAAGTTTCTCTCTCTCTCTTCTACACACACACAATGACTTGGTAGAGGGGTCTGTTTTATCCCTACCAGAGTAGGAAACCTTTGCCTCATTTATTATAGTCTAGAAATTCACACTGGTTTCTCAATACTTTTGAGCATGAGCTCAGACACTGTATTTCAACTGAAATGCCCAGAAGCATTGTTTTAGCTAGACTAACCCGAGGGCCACCGCCTTTGGCCCCACCTCTGCTACAGCACAAATCAAATCTGCAGCTGCTTCCCTTCAAAAGCATCAAAGCTCAGAGCAGCAAACTCCTTGAAAGCAGAAAACCCAGAATAGCCAGGAGAGGTGGTACCAGCTCCGGATCCACTGTAATCAAGTGTGAATGCAGGGAAAGCTCCTTAAAAGGTCGACTAGGAATGTCCTAGTGGTGTTCTTCTTTAACTTGGGCAAATCACACAGACCTCCGAGCCTCATTTCATTCCTGTTTCTAGAACACAAAAGTATATTTGAAAAATTATCACTCCTTATTGTCATTATACTCCTCACTCCTTTATAATATACTGAGGAAGAAAAGAATTCTCCTTAACCTCTACTAAAAACTAGAATTAAGGGGACCCTATGAACAAGTCAGGTGGCCAACATGATGATGGGAAGTTCAAAATGTAACTGGGTTGAGCAGGGAAGCATCTCAGGTAGACAGAATTAGCATCTTGTCAGTCAAACCCTAGTGTGAATAATTCAGTGTTCTTCATCAGATGAAAGGCCTTCAATTTCATCTCTGTCTCCCCCAATGGCCATCCAGAATGCTTTAGCCACCTGTGGAGAGAAGCACACAACAAATTTTAGGCAACAGCTAAATTTCAGTTCATTTCATATGTCATACTTTGAACTGATTAAGCCCTAAAATTCTACACCTTGCCCTCCAGCCCTGTGGCAACATATATCAAAAATCCCCTGACCCAGGACTTCTACTTCTAGAAATGTATACCAAGGATAGAATCAGGGTTGTATACAAGGGTGATGTGTGAGGATATGCACAGCCTCACTATTTATAAAAGCAAAAACTGCACATGACTTAAATGTCCAAAAGGACATAAATAAATTATGACACACTCACACAATGGAATACCATAAACCATACACATTTCCTGCCAAGAACATGTGTTGCGTTGGTAATAACAAAACAAAACAAAATAAGAGTTTTCCAGCCCAATAGTTAGGAAGGCAAACATCCTGAGTCTCAATGAAAGTTCCATGTCACTCAAGACACATTTGAAAAATCTTGGTTTGACTGCAGCAACTATATTACTATTGTATAAATATTCAATTAGTTCTAATATCCAATGAAAGTTCACGCTAAAACACTTTAGAAACAAACAAGGGTGATATATCATTCTAACAGCACTGGATCTTTCATAGGTCCTCAATAAATACCTGACAGATTGTCTCACCTTTTCTGCATGTAACTTTCTTTGCTCGTGAGGAAGCGTCGCAGCCTTGTCTAGGAGGAAAACAAATCTTTAGAAAGTCATCTAACAGCACAGGAGAATTGGGAGTGTATGGATGTTCTAGCACTAGAGGATGGGAGATGGGTTTAAAAGACACATGTTTATGGTATAGTCATTACAGGTGTTAGGAAGTTTAAGTTCCAAATTTTCCAGATGGGAATGGTGTGAGTAAATGGGTAGGAATCTTACTGATTCCATGTTAATGAGACACACTGAAAGAAACAGAGAGGCAAGAGAAGAAGGGAAAGTAAGAGGAAAGGGAATGAAGAGGAGAATTTTCCCTAGGGAATTTTTACCAACAGAGGATGGCACAGTCCCCTAGTAGCTAAGTTTCTCAAGACAGCCGAGACCAGAGCAGAGAATCCAATCAGCAGTTACAAAATAAAATCCTACTATATAAAACAGAGAGTATCAATATGGGAGCATGTTAGACACAATGGATCCAATTACCTTTCATTTCCTTTAACTTTGAAAATAGTCTTTCAAAATTCTCCAAATCTCCTCCGCCAGTAGTAAGACTGGCTAATTCCTGAATATCCAGATCTAACATGGGATCTGAAATAAGGATTTGTCACATTATTTGTCACACATTATTTATATATGTGCTCAATACACAGAATCCTAAGGCAATCAATCTTAGCTTTGATGCAAGTCACCACTGAATGAGTGCCCAATGTGGACTAGCTTTACAGCTCATGGTGCTTCACCCCGCTTGGATGGCTAACAGGCCCTCACAAATGAACAGTAACTTACTTTATCCTTACAACATTGTAATGAGGCAAGGAGTCCAGTTTCCATTTCAGAGGTGAGAAAACTAGAGCTCTGAGTTGAAGGGACTTACTAGCTGTGACCTTGAGCAAGTAAGTGTGACCTTGGATTCAGACTTACGTGTTTCCAAATTTCAAGGCCCTGCTCGCCACTAAGGTACACTGATTCAACAATAAATGCCTGAAATTTATACCGCATCTTACTGTACAACAAATATTGTCACATCTATTACTGACAACCACCATATAAGAAGGTTAGGACCGATACCACTGATGGCAATTTAGACATGGAGCAACCTGGATTTAAAAATGAACTCATCTAAAATTACAGCTAGTCAGAGTAGAGCTGAATTAAATTCCTATTTTATACTACAAATCCTTTATTATTTCTACCTCAGTATGGTGCCTCTTTATCAATGCTTGCTTTTAATCAGAAATTGTACTCATTCTCCACTCCAGGCTGACCACCTCTAGGATGTCTTCCCTTGACTGTCCCAGCTCACAGGTCTCCTTCCTTAGAATGCGTCCCACACTTAGTGTTTATGGAACTGTCTTGGCACTGTCATATGCTACTTTGTACTCTCACGTCTCTCCACCACTACCATAATAAATACGACTACAGTAAGAGAGAGAGTTTACTTTGTGCCTGCACACTGAGTGCTTTAACTTTTACGACTCCATTTCATTTATGCACCAGTGTTGTTAGGAAAGATTTGTTACCCCTATTTTACAGAAGGCGAAACCAAGGCCCACAGAGGCTAAATAACTTACTGATGGTTGTCTCTCACTACTAGTGGTAGAGCCATGATTTGAACCCAGCTGTCCAGGACTCCACGCCCACAACCTTAACCATTACAATACAAGGCCTATCTCTACATTTTGAGACTGTAAGCTCCTCGAAGACAAGGATGATAACTTCTAATTCTTTGCATCTACTACAATGCCATACAGATAATTTGGTGTTAAAAATGCATTTTAGTTAATAAATTTGCTTTAGTTTAATGAGCATGTCATGTTGGCAGTTGGTATACAGGGCTAGAGATAAAAATTCGTGATTTATCTGTGTATAGATGGTAACTGAACTGTGGACAGCAATAGTGTCACATCTTGCTTAAATACAGATTTGGAAGAGGAGCTTAGATGGTGCCTTGATGAACAGCAATATTTAAAGGCTGGGTAAAGGAGGGTAATCTACCAAAGGAAGAGAAGGAATAACCAGAGAAGTAGGAAGAAAACCAGATGTGTTGGCTGAGTCAAGAGAAAATGTTTCAAAAAGGGATTGACCCATAATATTGAATGCTGCCAAGAGGTCAAGATGAGGACTGGAAAATATCTATTAGATTTGGTGGCATGGAGGTCGCTGGTTAGCTGTTTTAGTGGCAAATGGGGGCAAAAGGTAGATGGGAGTCGAGGAGTGAATGGGAGGTGAGGAATGGAAATAAGTTCAGTAAAGGGAGGAGGGAGATGTGGGCTTAAAGAAGTGTTTTACTTAGTTTGGTTTTGCCTTTTTTTTTTTAATTTTGAAATAATTTTAGTCTTACAAAAAAAGTTGCAAAAATAGTATAGAGAGTTCCCATACACCCTTTACCCACCTTCCCCTGGTATTAATGTCTTATATAACCACAGTACAATTATAAACATCAAGAAGTTAATAATGGTACAGAGCTATTAACTAAACTACAGACTTCATTCAAACGTCATCAGTTTTTCCACTAATATCCTGTTCCAGGATCCTACGCAGAATTTATCTGTCAAATCTCCTTGTCTTCTCCAGTTTGTGAACAGTTCCTTAGTCTTTCCTTATCTTTCATGACTTTGACACTTTTGAAGAGTACTGGTCAGTTATTTTGTATAATGTCCCTCAATTTGGGTTTGTCTGATGTTTTCTTATTAGACTGAGGTTATGCCCCTGTGGCAAGAATACCACAGAAGTGATGTGTCCTTTCAGTGCCGCATATCAGGGGGCACATGCTGTCACATGTGTTATTACTGGTGATGTTAACCACTTAGTTGGCTTCTCCAGTGTAAAGTTACTATTTCCCTTTCTAATAAATAAATACCTTGGGAGAGATACTTTTAGACTATGCAAATGTCTTGTTTCTCCTCAAACTTTCATTTACTAATTGTAACATCCATCAGTGGATCTTGCCTGTAACGACTATTACTGTGGTGTGTGGCTAATGAAGATTCTATTTCCCTCATTCCTTCTACATTCATTATTGGAATTCTTCTGTAAGGAGGAGCAGCCCTTTCTTTCCTAGTTATTTATTTACTCAATTATTTATTTATATTACTATGGATTCATGGATATTTGTTTTATTCCATGGGTTATAGACCAATACTATATTAATTTTGCTGGCCAAACTGTTCCAGCTTTAGTGGTTGGAAGCTCTTTCAGGTTGGTTCCTGTGCCCCTTCAACATGTCCCCATTCTTTTTTGAGCACTTCATTACTTTCTGGCACCATGAGATGCTCCAGGTTCATCCTGCATTTTTCCTGCTGCAGCCCTGGAATCAACCACTTCTCCAAGTAGCTCTGGTACCTTTTATTGGAGAATGGTATTTAAAAACCAAGACCAGGGCTGGCCCCGTGGCTTAGCAGTTAGGTGCATGCGCTCTGCTACTGGCGGCCCAGGGTTCGGATCCCGGGCGCGCACCGAGGCACCGCTTGTCCGGCCGTGCTGAGGCCACGTCCCACATACAGCAACTAGTGCAACTATGACATACAACTATCTACTGGGGCTTTGGGGAAAAAAAAGGAGGAGGATTGGCAATAGATGTTAGCTCAGAGCCGGTCTTCCTCAGCAAAAAGAGGAGGATTAGCACAGATGTTAGCTCAGGGCTGATCTTCCTCACAAAAAAAAATAATAATAATAAAGTTTCTTTAAAAAAAAAAAAAAACCAAGACCACGTGCTAGGTTTGTCCATTGCTCCTGGGGTATTGTTGCTTCTAGGCCTGGTCAGCGGATAGAGCTAGGAAATATATACATATGTATACTAACACATGCATACACACATCTATATTTCTCTATTGCTCAAACTATAAGTATATTTTGAAAAACCAGGAGTTCATACTGATACCTTCAATTCCAGTCCAGTACCAAAGTGTTCATCCCAGCCTTCCCCTTTCCTTATTTGTAACTTCTCTCTCTGAGTGTAAGAAACCTAGCTCTCATTATCTATATTTTCTTATTTTTTCAACCCTGATATATATAAAATATATATAATTTCAGAATTTCTAGCCCATACCCCTGTAAGAATCAAATTTATTAAGTACAGTGTAGTATTTCTGGTCAGTCCTTTCTGTTTTTAGCCTTATGGTATCCGATCAGAATACCATTTCCCCAGTTATTTGGGTTAGTTCTTGTCTTCCCGACCTCCTTCAGTGTGGTTACTGGTTTGTTTTCATGGCAGAGACTCTGGCAGGTTTAAAAGCCAACAGGAAGCATTCAATTGAGAGGACAAGGTTGAATATACTTGAGAGAAAAGAGATTCTATGTAATTTTTTCTTCTTAATGTGTTTCTATAACCAATCACTTGAGTTTTTCTACATGGGTTATCTTAAAATCAGAAAAACAGTTTTAAAAATGTATTACTGCACGTGGGTCTTCTGCGGCAGAAAGAGAAAGTAGAGATGTCAGTAGTGCTCAACAAAAAAGCATTTATAGTTATTGTCAACTAAGCTCCTTGGCCTTCTGGCTTTGGGACAGCAGGCTGGACTCCAGCTTCAGTTCCAGGACCTTCTCGTTAGAGGCCCTTGGACAGGTTATGAAACCGCTCTGGGCCCCACCTGCATCTCCGTAAAATAACTTCTCTGCCAAACTTCATTACCAAATGAGAAAGCGGATATAAAAGAACTTGAAAATGATGTGAAGGGGCTTGAAAAGTTGTATTATTCTCGTTACCATTCTGACTACTGTTAAATACTATGAAAAACCTGTGGAATCTGGAGATATAAAGCTGTTTCACCACCTGGTTCTGTCTGTTTTGGTGAAGATGATCTGAATCAAGATCTTGCTAAAAGAATCAGAGAGAAAATGGTACCCACAGATTTGTAATGTATTCATTCTCCTTCCTTTTTCTGACAGCCATCTGCAAGGCTCACATTCATTTGGGGTACACTATCAATTTTCTTCCCTTGTCCATGTTTAAAGTCAGTTTCCCCCTGGATGATTTATACCCTGATACATCGGCTATTCCAAGTTCCACTGAGTTGTCTCTTGGCAGCCAAAGGAGGAACTTACCCACAACGCTATCAACCTGAGCGTCTGTTGTGCTAGATGCACCACCCCGATGATCCAAGGGGGATTCAGTCCTATTTGCTGCTGGCAAATGGGGCTGCTGTTGAGGAAAACACACACAAGCAATAATTTAATAGTAGGCTACTTCAGAACTAAATCCAAAAAGGCTCACACTTCCACTTGCTAGTTGGCTTTAGGGAAGCAGTAATGGGAGCTACAGACAGGAGAGATGGAAGAAGGATCAATGTCACACAAAAAAATAAGAGGCTAAAAATTCACTAACTCAGGAGTATTTTCCCTCAAAAATTAGAAAGTGTTATGATTTTGCTATTGACTATTAAAATATATTGTTTGTTTGTTTTAAGATTCATGTTTTAGTCAAAATGAGACAATGTACACGATCATATCACAAACAGCTCAGAGACTGATGAGAAAGATGCCTGGAAAGGCAATGTGGCACTGTATAATGCGTTCTTGGTCCCAGCACACTGACCAAGGTAAACCTGGACCAGAGTCCTTGAGGACAGAGGGTAGAAATCAGTCTATTAAGCTCACAGAGGGCAGGGACCTTGCCTCGGATTTGTACAGGGTCTTGTACACAGGAAGTACTGAAAAAGAAGCAACAATTTTATTTCATATTTAAAGATCTGAAGGCAACTTTATGCCTTAAGGAAATTCTAGAACATTTTTAAAAGCACTCTAGCAAAAAAACATGGAACAGTCCAAATTGCAAACATCTTGAAGGGCTTACTGCTTTAATGCTGAACTAGCCTTCTCTCAACAAGTACCAGGCACAAGAGGGCTGTTTTAGATTCTCCTTTTCTCTATTTTTAACATTCTGTCACTTCTTTAATGGAAAGGAAAAAATGATAAATGGTGTAAAGATTCACAATGACAAGGAGAAATTAAAGCCAAAGCAGAGAAAAGATCCAAGAAAAATCTTTACCTCTGAGGGACAGGTCTCTGCTGACCCAATGCTATGGTTTCCTCCAGCCAACGAGCTGAGAAGGCTAAAGCCTTGGCTCCTATCTGAACAGAAAACATGCAATCACTGATATTTTTTATTTACACTTAAAATTAAAATGATTGTGATGATGAAACAATGGCTATTTCTTCATTATAAAAGTTCAACTATAAAAAACAGTTACTATCAATTACCATACTCTCTAAATTCTGAATAATTTTTTTAAATCACAGAGTATTAACCCAGGTCAAATATAATGGCGGGGCCATTACAACAAACAAAAGCCCACTCAGGGTTCTGTTTGCAAAGATTAACAGCACTGACGTCTTAAAAGTCACTATGAACTAATATGCCAGTATTTTAAACAATCAAAAACATTAAAAAAAAAATCAATGCCAAGGCATTATTATCAGGTGAAAAGGAACATGCATGCTTTTTAAAAATAAAGCTCTAATTTTGATATGCCATTTGCAGTTACATCTCCCAATACCCTAGATATTTGTATTTACAGTGGAGGACACATCTGGAGCAGAACGTCTAGAACTGATGAACGCGTAAGCGCCAGCCCTGATCTGACAATGTTCCCCAGAATCACCTGAGCACTTATTAAAACCACCCCAGGGCCGGCTCCGTGGCTTAGCGGTTAAGTGCGTGCGCTCCGCTGCTGGCGGCCCGGGTTCGGATCCTGGGCGCGCACCAATGCACTGCTTCTCCGGCCATGCTGAGGCCAAACCCCACATACAGCAACTACAAGGATGTGCAGCTATGACATACAACCACGGACTGGGGCTTTGAGGGGGGAAATAAATAAAATTATAAAAAAAAAAAAAAAAAAAAAAACCACCCCAGCATTCAAGGACCCACTTCAGACTGAGGCAGACTCTCTGGGACAGAGGCCAAGGCATCTGAACTTTTAGCAAGTCCATGAGAGTCTTAGGATCAGGGAAATTGAAACAACAAAACACTGCCTTAGAGTAGAACATAAAACCCACAATCAAAGACTAACAGTACAGCAGTCAAAGAACTTCTCTCTCAAGAAGACAACTTCCTCCCACCTTGCCTTTCCTCTCCCATCCCTTCCCTGACCCCATTCTCATCTGTCTTTTTTTTGTGAGGAAGACCGGCCCTGAGCTAACATCTATTGCCAATCCTCCTCCTTTTTTTACCCCCAAAGCCCCAGTAGATAGTTGTATGTCATAGTTGCACATCCTTCTAGTTGCTGTATGTGGGACGCGGCCTCAGCATGGCCGGAGAAGCAGTGCGTCGGTGCATGCCCGGGATCCGAACCCCGGCCGCCAGCAGCGGAGCGCGCGCACTTAACCGCTAAGCCACGGGGCCGGCCCTTCATCTGTCTTTAAACCACCTACAAACTTCCCACATCCTCTCCCCTGCCAGGTGAAACCTGTTGTCGGATAGTCACACAGAGGTATCAAAGCAAGAGAACCCCTCACAGTCTCCATCCTCCTTCCTTTCACTAGGGGAGATTTGCCTTTTAAACTGGATGAAGCCCCCTCCATGGTATGCTGGGTCTAGGCCTGCAGCTTCTTCCAGCCTGACCTCTCAGCACGTGGGCAGTCTCCTAGCCTACCCACTGCCCGCAGCCATCAGCCCAGCACACCTAGGCCTTAAGGCTACAAAGGCGCTGGGCAGCACTAAGAGCCTGCGGCTGCCCTGCTGCTTTTCCTGCTCCACAACCTCAACAGTGGCTGCAGCGCCAAAGGTGCACGCGTACTCCTGGAGCCCCCTTCCACCTCCTCACCCAACTTCCTCACTCTGCAAGAACTCTCCAGGCCAAATGCCTGGGTGTGCCCCGTCCAAAGACCGGGCATCATCAAGGTTTGCAGCAAGGTAGGCAGTGGAGGCTCAGGGCTGAGAGAAGCAGAGCCACGTGCTGTCCCACACTGATGGTTTCACAGAGCCTGGGTATGTTTATTTCAATATCAGCATAATTCTTTCTTTCTGGCCAGTGTGCTATAGATTTTAAAGCAGTTGTATGCAGTTATGCAATCCTCAGGGATTTTACACATCAAGAGGATACATGAGAGCTCTTACATTATACTTCAGGCTCTTTGTACAAGAGGCATGATCTGAGTAATAGAGCACTGCTGTAAGAGAGCCCTCACTTTTATTACTGGAAATAACTTGGACTTTGGGTAATTTTCAAACCCATTTCACAAATCTTTCTATATTCCAATTCCACAGCTTATGTGTTTCCTCTGGTGGGCATTACCAAACTTGGCAGGCCAGACTGCAGTCCACGAAGAATAAGTAATACAGTGTCAGTTTAGGCATGTTATTAGCCCAAAACAGTCTATTTAAAATGCCCCATTCTTTACAGAGGCTGCCTCCAACAACAGGAGCTGGGAGGGATAGGAGTTTGAGCCTATGTACCGTAAACCTTTGTGTATCTTTCGACTTTCGTTCCGTGTTCATATGTTTATCTATTCAAAGAGATTTTTTTTAATTTAATGATTATATGCTATGTGTATTTTACCACAATAAAAAAGTTGAATGTAACAATTCTAATAATGGATAAAATTATGAAAAAGTCAGAACAGGGGGAAGACAGCTGGGCTAGTGGTCAGAAGGCCTGGATTTCATTCCTGGCTCTGCCTACCAGTGTGTTCTTGGACAAATTAATTAATCTTTCTGTGCCTCAATTTTCTGATCTGTAAAATAAGAGAGTTGCTATACACAGTTGTTAAGATCCTTTCCACTCTAGAAGTTTGTGATTTTATAAAGTAAAGAGGCATTCTTCAGCCTCTTGACAGTAACTCTGAATTAGCTGGGCTTAGGTATTTTTTAAAATTACTTAATAGAGAGAAAAACAAGAACCTTAAATTTCAGAAGCCTTTTAAGGTTCACAGACGACTATGAGTTTATAATTAGGTTTCAGGCTAATTATAATAAGCTGGAATGGCTTTTGTTCAGTATTGTCTTATAAACAATGGAGAATTTAGTCAACCAAGAAGAGAGTTCACTATGTTCCACTGCTTATATTTTAAGGAAGTTAGAAACAAATTTTCACAATTAGAAAAACAATTCATTTTTGTTTACCCAAAGCAGATTGCTTACACATTAATGTTGCTCAAAAAACTTGGATGATATTTTATACACCTATGGTTATAAAGAAACTCTCAGTCCTGCCTAGTCCAATGTTTAGGAAAATTCTGCCCATGTACACCCACTATAAAACTATTCTTCTTATAGAAAAGGATTACATAAATCTTTTCTTGTTTGTCAGATTTTTCTCCCCAGGATTCAGGGCATGGAAATGCCATCCCTATTAAGAAGGATTTATTCCTTTAGCAAGTAGTTGTTGAAACTGGTGTTAGCATCTCTGGTTTTACTGATGCCACAAAAGACTAGACTAGGAAGAAATAAAATCATCTACCTACTCAACTGATTCTTCTAGAACTTCAGAGCTGCAGAAAGGAGAAGATTTTAAGTGATGTAAAATAAATTATTCTGGAAGGCATAATAAGTATATTAAACTCTGGTCCTAAAAACATCTAATTCAGTTTCAGTAGACTAGTAAGTTGGAATAATAGATAAAAATGATAGTGTCATGAAAAAATCTAGTGGTCATTAGCAGAGAATTCTTCCAGGAAGTGTCAGAAACAAAATTATAGCCTCTAGAATAAAGATTTGAAATGAGATATTCTCAAGCCTTGGGGAATAGCTTGTATTTATGGATATACTCATTTTTTAATAAGAAGTTTCAAGAAAACTTGAAATACATGAAATTGTTTGGATATCTCTTTACAAATCTGAAGCCACATTATTATAGAAACATAAAATGCATTTCACATAGCAATTCTGACTTACCTGAGACATTTAGAGAATTAAAAACCTAGGTAAAAAGGGAAATTTTAGTACTATGGGGAAAGAAGAAAAGTAGTTCTAAAAAAAGTATTTTTTTCCTGCTAGTTTTTCTGCTCTTCTCTCACTTCTCCACTATGTTGTCAAGGCAATATGACGAGCATGTGAATTTGGAGATGGATAAAAGCATGGATCTGAATCCTAGTCCTGCCACTTACTGTGTGGTCTTATACAAATTATGCCCGCTCTCTACCTCAGTTTCTACATTTACGCAGTGGGTATAACAATACTCACCCTGCAGAACTATTGTAAGGGTTAATAATAATAATAGCTAATGTTTACTGAGTGCTCAGTATGTGCAAGGTAACATTCCAAGTACTGAACATACAATGCTTCTTTAATCTTCACCACAACCAAAATATGCCTTCTACACACAAATAGAAATCAACATATATCTTCTTTATTTCATTATCCTCTTTTACAGAGGATTTATTTATTATTCTCTTTTACCGAGTAAACTGTAACTCAGAGAGATTAAGTAATTTGCCCAAAGTCACATAGCTGGAACCTGAACCTGAAATCCAGAACTCTCTGATTCTAAATTCCATACTCTCTCCATTAAGCGCAGAAGTAACATGAAAGAATAAAGAGTTGAGACAGTCAGTGTTTGATATACAGATACTGGATACGACACAAACTTGGGTCAAGTGCAAAAAGATGTCTTTTTATTCACATACAGTTCTCTTTTGTCAGTAATCCTTCATGATGCCCCTGGTTTAGACTGATTTTAACTGAACTAAGCTGAACAGTTTGGGACTGAATAATTAATCATATGCCACTCATTAAGTGATCCCAGCCCAACCCCATAACTCTGGAGGCATTGGTCACATAAAACTAGTGGCAGACAGAGTCCTGTGCATCCCTGCCTCTACCTGGCAGGCCAGCGTCCCTGGCCTCTACCTACCAAATGCTTATAGCAAAGCCAAATGTCCCCTGGGGGTCAAAATCGCCTCCAACTGAGAACCACCGGTATAGATCTACTAATTAGGACAGGAAATTTCTGATGAAAATTCTCAGATTTTAAGTCATTTCTTGAAAAGATTTTCAATGAAAAAAGAGAATAAAAACACATAAAACATTCGATCTTTACCTCCTGTCAGCATTAGAAATATCCTCCCCCTAATGTGGGACAGTTCTCTAGGGGACTTCAGCCCATAATCACTTCTCCCTCAGCACCATTTGC